GGTTCAAGTCTGGGCTATGGCTGAGCCACTCAAGGACATTCAGAGACTTGTCCCAAAGCCACTCCTGCGTTGTCTTGGCTGTGTGCTTAGGGTCATTGTCCTGTTGGAAGGTGAACCTTCGCCTCTGTTTGAGGTCCTGAGCGCTCTGGAGCAGGTTTTCATCAAGGATCTCTGTACTTTGCTCCATTCATCTTTCCCTCGATCCTGACTAGTCTCCCAGTCCCTGCTGCTGAAAAACATCCCCACAGCATGATGCTGCCACCACCATGCTTCACCGTAGGGATGGTGCCAGGTTTCCTCCAGACGTGACGCTTGGCATTCAGGCCAAAGAGTTCAATCTTGGTTTCATCAGACCAGAGAATCTTGTTTCTGATGGTCTGAGAGTCCTTTAGGTGCCTTTTGGTAAACTCCAAGTGGGCTGTCATGTGCCTTTTACTGAGGAGTGGCTTCCGTCTGGCCACTCTCCCATAAAGACCTGATTGGTGGAGTGCTGCAGAGATTTTTGTCCTTCTGGAAGGTTCTCCCATCTCCATAGAGGAACAATGGAGTTTTGTTAGAGTGACCATCGTGTTCTTGGTCACCTCCCTGACCAAGGCCCTTCTCCCCCGATTGCTCAGTTTGGCCGGGCGGCGAGCTCTAGGAAGAGTCTTGGTGGTTCCAAACTTGGAGGCCACTGTGTTCTTGGGGGACCTTCAATGCTGCAGACATTTTTTGGTATCCTTCCCCAGATCTGTGCCTCGACACAATCCTGGCGCTCAACGGACAATTCCTTCGACCTCATGGCTTGGTTTTTGCTCTGACATCCACTGTCAACTGTGGAACCTTACATAGACAGGTGTGTGCCTTTCCAAATCATGTCTAATCAATGTAATTTACCACAGGTGGCCTCCAATCAAGTTGTAGAAACATCTCAAGGATGATAAATGGAAACAGGATGCACCTGAGCTCAATTTCGAGTCTCATAGCAAAGGGTCTGAATACTTATGTATATAAGGTATTTCTGTTTTTTTTAAACAGAAATGTCTAAAAACCTGTTTTCAGTGTCATGATGGGGTATTGTGTGTCAAGATTGAGGAAAAAGGTGTATTTAATCCATTTTAGAATAAGGCTGTAACGTAACAAAATGTGGCAAAAGTCAAGGGGTCGGAATACTTTCCGAATGCACTGTATATGTTTTGATTTCTAAGACATTCTAAGGTTTGTATCATTCACAACTAAAGTTGCCAAATAACTTTAAATTTAACATATAGGACCTGTTTCAAGTGATCCATTTTATTCTCAATTTTGCCAAGTCATAAGCGCACTCGCTCCGTCATGGGAAAAATATCCTTTCTATTTTTTTCAGCTAAGTTCAATTATATTCTTCTTACTATAAAATCATATTAAATAGAATAATGACACAGGACTTATCGCAAGCAAGCAAGTTTATTTATATAGCACAATTCATACATCGAAGCAATTCAATGTGCTTTACAAAGATGTTTATCAAAAATAATGAAAACATCATAATAAAAATACAATAAGATACAAAAATTAAAACATAGGAAGCTATAAGGCTAAACAGTGTGGTTAAGTTTAAGTGCTCAGTCGTAGGCACGTGAAAAGAGAAGTGTTTTTAACCTGGATTTAAAAATGGATACGTTTGGGGCACATCTAAGATCTTCTGGTAGTTTATTCCAGTTGTGTACAGCATCAGTGCTAAACGCAGCTTCTCCATGTTTAGTTTGGGCTCTGGGCTCTACTAGCTGACCTGTGTTCATGGATCTAAGAGCCCTGCTCGGTTTATATTCTTCAAACATATCAGACATGTACTCGGGTCCTAAACCAAAGATTTATAAACTAAAAGCACCACTTTGAAATCAATTCTGTAACTGACTGGAAGCCATGTAAAGATTTAAGAACCGGAGTGATGTGCTCCGTTCTCTTGGTCCTGGTTAACATTCTAGCAGCTGCATTCTGAATGAGCTGCAGCTTTTTTTTTTACAGATATAAGCATATCTTGTCAGCTAAATGAACAAGCCTACAGTCTTTGGCATGGAGCATAGCCAGATAACATAGGGCAGGTCAACTCATATTCTGTTCTTCTGAAATACATTTTCTTCATATCATAATATGTATTTATACCTGACTAAAATACATAATGGATTTATTTTGATGGTATATATATACACATACATACACACACACACACACACACACACACACACTTTTTTTCTAATAAATCAATTTATGTAGATGTTCCAAAGGCGCACATCAGCGGCTTGTATGTGTGGAGGCCTGGAGATGCTAAATGTGTTTATGGTAATTAACGGTCAATTACCGTGAGACAGGCAGTCTTTTGCATGACAATAACTGGCTGACAAAATGTCATGACCGCAACTACTCTCTGCCACCCCAGGTAACTCAAGCTAGCAATAAAACCAGTTTTAAAAAAAACAGATAAAAGAACACCTTCCTGCACAAAGGGGACTTTGAAGAGACACAGCCATTTTATATATATATATATTGTATTGTAATTTGCACTGTACTATGTATTAGACCTAGATAGTGTGTGTATGTACTGATATGTAGGCTGTGTGACGTTTTAAAATGTATGCATTTCAGTCCTTGACTAATAATGTTCTGGACTATACATTATGTCATGTTTCATGTAGACCTCAGTAAGAGTAGCTGATGCTTTTGCAGCGGCTAATGGGGATCCTAATATATACCAAATGTACGATACAGTGAACTTAGCAAAATGTGGAATTTGTGGTAAGTGCATGGGGGCCGCCATCTTGATGCACCTCCACTAATCATCTAATGTCACATAATAGTTTGCAGTGGAATGTGGAGATATCGTCACCATCAGGATCATCATATACAGTATCTTAAACCCATCATACTGAGGTAAAGCCACGACCTGCAATCTTGAGTCTGCGAAGCGCCAGTACTGAAATCCTCCAATCATGGCACGCTATATGTCCGACCCCCAACCGTATTGTGCTCAGATATTTTATTTTCAAACATTAATTTAAAGTGGCAAAAAAAAAAAAATATCTATAATCCCCAAATGGACGTTTGGATATATTGAAATAAATCTCCATAAACAAGACAGATTAATAATCTCTTTATTTGAGTTCTTAGGCAATAACAAAATAGACCATTAGTCTTCAAACAATTTGTCGTAGATAGATTATCCTGATTATTATTGATATGACCACAGCGCTCTAGAACTTTCCCACAGTTCTGGATGCAACAGCTTGACCTGCAGTAGCAGTGCATGGGTAAAATCACTGAGGAAGCCAAGCCAAGCCAGTCAAAAAAGCCATATTAAAACCTATGTTGTGATAATTGCATTGTTTGCTCTATAACCCATTCGTTCATACGCCACCGTGATATACAATAAGGCTGTGACAACAAAAAGACAACAGTCACACAGTGGCGGAATAAATTCAACTACACATACGTTTGTTTCATCACAAAACCGGAGAGCAACATCTGTTCGGTGAAGTCCACAAAGCAAATATTGCATGTAACAAACAGTTATATCACCTGCAGCATGGTCAAGCAAGGTAATGTTTGACAGTTTACTAAACAACTACTGATTTAGAACCAGGAAGTTACCGCAAGTCAGCACAAAGACAACAGGAGCACTGCCACAGCTATTCCAGCACCATTTCAACTTAAACATTAAAAAATCATCAAATCATCATTTAATACACTGAAAACAAACGTAACAAAAACTATTTAGTCCAATCAATGTTGCTAAATATCATGTGGCTGTCCATACTGATTTCTGTCTGTGTGTGTGCGTGCGCAAGTAAATCAAAACATTTTGACTCACCCACTTGTAGACTAGTTCAACGTCAATGCCATCCTCATCTTTTCCATGTTGGCAAAATGGTCTATGGCTCTGTCATACAGAACAATTTTAGTTGTTGTTGTTTTCATAGGCTACCTAGCGAAAATGCTTGCTAGCCTAACTTCCTCGCATGGGCAACAATGAAGCAGCTAATTTAGCTAGCTAGTTAACGTGAGCCTACTAGTCTATATCTAGGCTACATATTGAACTTCAATCATCTCAGGTCATTGGCACAACATTAATTTATGGTTAGATCAGAATCGCTGTCATAATCATTGGCCTGTATAGAGAATTAAGTCAAAACCACAAATCCAAATCCCCATCTCCATCCATGGCTTAGGAAAGAGGAAAGGGACAATTTAGCAAGCTAATTACTGCAGGACATCAACACAAGCAGATCAGAAACAGACAAGTTTTTCTGAAAATGACGTTTTTCTTAGAAAGTGATTTGATCGGTATGAAGCCAAATCCAAACTGGCCTCCCTTGGGGGGCGTTTTGCTGCACCTGGACAACCCACAGTTGAGCTCAGCTCAACGCTGATTGGCAATTTATTTAATTTGTTTTTTTATCAAGGGAGGCCAAACGCTTGCTTGCATCAATCAATCAAATGCTACGGCGGCAACATGTCATACTCTTTTGGTCCAGACAGCATCAGATACATGGGCTACACATACTGAGACAGAGGGGTGCTGTTTCCCTCGCTCTGATGATTTCTATGGTGAGATTCTGACCCTTAGGAATTGACGGAAAATTATGAAAACACAGAGACGAAATATAAATAATTGTATAATTGTTCATTTTTTATTGGTCAAATATTTTGGGGAAGCCTGGCTTCCCTCGGCATCCATGAATACACACCACTGTTGACCTGTCTGATAAGTTACATTATTTCAGCCTAAAACTTAAAAAGGATATTTCACCATTGTTAGGCAAGAGCCATACAGAAGTTCTGGATTACCGACTGTCTTTTTTTCAATGCGCTAATGTCCAAGTACAGAAACAATCAAGCAGTTCACATATGGTGATGAACTATCACTTTAAACATCTTATTACAGTGTACTGCAATGCATTGCACACAAACTCCTTGTATATATCTAGTCCCCTCTTCTTTGGGAAGCGGAGAGGTGGAGAGATATGATGGGAACCAACCTCCTTCTAGGGGACTGCTTCAGTCACGGGGGTCCCTTCAATTTTAAGACCGGCCAGAGAGTCAGCTACCTCTTCCTCCTCCTCCTCATCATCCTCCTCTTCCTCATCATCCTCCTCCTCATCATCATCATCTCCATCATCGTCCTCCTGGTCTCCCTCCCCTCCTCCGGAGGACGACACGTTCTTCCAGTAGGAGTCGTAGCCAGACGCCCCATAACCTCCATAGCCGTAGCTATCCTCGTCAGCACCACTCTGTCGGCCAAACTTCGTCGTACGGGCTGCAGGGCGAATACAGGAATACAGATATGAGCTGAGAATCTTGAGTATTAATACCGATCCGGTGAGTGCACATACACAACAATAAAAGGTGTTGAATGTGGCGGGATAGAGGTTTAAGATCTGACATCTGCTACAAGAAAATATTACGAAAACAAGTGATTTGTAACTATACACAAATTATATTCAATAAAAAAAATAAAAAGGTGATATTACAGTATACATACAACTGCACTGCACTTAGTTTTCCTCTTTATGACTGAAAAGTTTAAATCCACGATTGACTTAAGCACTGATTAGATGCTAGATGGTGGACTCACTGGACATGCTGAGGTCCTTAGTCTCCTGGGTCTCATGGCCACACTTGGGGCAGGGAGGATTTTTACCCTTGTCCTGTTTGAACACCTTACTCTTCACATGGTCGTCACAGAAACAGGCCTGCGGAGGGAGAGACACAGTTCACCACAAATGGGCCTGGTTACTATAGGTTACAGTCATGCGTCAAATCCAGGAAATGTATTCCCTGTACCACTGGTAAATGTAACTAGAGGGAATACAGCCATGACCAGGTTAGGAGATTATTATATTTTAGCTAACCCTAACCCTTTTTCTAACCTTAACCTGATTCTCCTAACCTGTTTGAAAAAGTAACCTCTGGTCGTAGCTGTATTCCACCTAGTCAGAAGCCTGTTAAATGGGTACTTATTTACTGTCAAATCTACTACTTTAACAGGAATCTACACATTTCCCTCTGAACTAACACTCTTGCCATTCTTGCACTAACACTCACTTCTCTTTTTTTACTAGCAGTGACTTTGCTGAAAGCTGCTTTATTGAGGAAAAGTTTTACTTACTACGACTGTGATATGTGGTTCTCTCACCTAGTTACCTTAAGATGAATGCACTAACTGCAATGTTCGGCGTACACTACACGACTTTCAAAACCCTAACAACGCTGAGCCGCTAGCATTAAACAACCGTCTTTCCTGTCGTTTTTTTGTCTCGCCAAAGTAGTGGGGCGCACACTAAACAATCTGGCACAGACACTTCATGATTCTTTACCTGGTCGTGAGGATTCTTGATACCACGCTGTCTCGCCAAAACAATGTGATTAGATTGTTAACGTAGCTAGCTACAACGAGCTGTGGCTCAAAGCAGCCTCGTAAACGTTCCGTCAGACATTCACATTTGCCATACAGAGTTGAAATATCTTGCCAATACATTTAGGATTGAATAACATTGCATGTGAACTTCAGAGCTGTAACAAGATTACATTTAGGCTTTGGTTAAAGGCAAGTACAAACGCATACTAACTAGTAGTAGTCATGGCTCCTGCACGAGAGAGTACACATTCTGGGTGATGTGAATCAAGGTCATGATCTTGGCCTTCTTCTCTGGCGAGCTCTCATTGGCTATTGCTGATCGCCGTTCTCAAAACTGGTCGTTGCACATATCACACTACAAGAGCATTGCAGATTTTGCGCCAATAAAATCAAACACGGGATTGGTAGCCCTCAGATTGAGTCTCTGACGTGCTCACATTAAATGAGCTTCGGTGACGGCTGCGAGTAGGCAACGACGTGGGGATTTTGTCTCAGATCTCAAAAACGTGTCTGGGGCAGCTAAATCAGGGACAGAAATCGTGTAGTGTACGCACGGCTTCAATCGCTCTGGATAAGACCGTCTGCTAGATGACTCAAATGTAAATCTCTCAGTCAATGTGTATAGAGAGGCATTTTGAACAGCGGTAACATAAACACAACTAAAAAGTACACTGGTGTTTCAATATGCTTTGTGTTGTTGTCAAACAAAGATGCAGTGCATTCGGAAAGTATTCAGACCCCTTGCCCTTTTTGTTACGTTACAGCCTTATTCTTAAATGGATAAAAAAAATGAATGCTTTATATATATATATATATATATATCTCCTCATCAATCTACACACAATACTCCATAATGCCAAAGTGAAAACAGAAATACCTTATTTACATAGGTATTCAGACCCTTTGCTATGAGACTTGAAATTGAGCTCAGGTGCATCCTGTTTCCATTGATCATCCTTGATGTTTCTACAACGTGATTGGAGTCCACCTGTGATAAATTCAATTGATTGGACATGATTTGGATAGGCACACACCTGTCTATATAAGGTCCCACAGTTGACAGTGCATGTCAGAGCAAAAACCAAGCCATGAGGTCGAAGGAATTGTCCATAAAGCTCTGAGAGGATTGTGTCGAGGCACAGATGTGGGGAAGGGTACCAAAATATTTCTGCATCATTGAAGGTACCCAAGAATACAGTGGCCTCCATCATTCTTAAATGGAAGAAGCTTGGAACCACCAAGACTCTTCCTAGAGCTGGCCACCCGGCCAAACTGAGCAATTGGGGGAGAAGGGCCTTGGTCAGGGAGGTGACCAAGAACCTGATGGTCACTCTGACAAAGCTCCAGAGTTCATCTGTGGAGATGGGAAAACCTTCCAGAAAGACAACCATCTTTGCAGCACTCCACCAATCAGGCCTTTATGGTAGAGTGGCCAGACGGAAGCCACTCCTCAGTAAAAGGCACATGACAGCCCGCTTGGAGTTTGCCAAAGGGCACCTAAAGGACTCTCAGACCATGAGAAACAAGATTCTCTGGTCTGATGAAACCAAGATTGAACTCTTTGACCTGAATGCCAAGCGTCACGTCTGGAGGAAACCTGGCACCATCCCTACGGTGAAGCATGGTGGTGGCAGCATCATGCTGTGGGGATGTTTTTCAGCGGCAGGGACTGGGAGACTAGTCAGGATCGAGGGAAAGATGAACGGATCAAAGTACAGAGAGATCCTTGATGAAAACCTGCTCCAGAGCGCAGACAAAAATGTCTACCTGTTTTTGCTTTGTCATTATGGGGTAGTGTCTAGATTGGGGGGAGGGACAATTTAATCAATTTTAGAATAAGGCTGTAGCGTAACAAAATGTGGAAAAAGTCAAGGGGTCTGAATACTTTCCCGAATGCACTGTACATAGTTAAGCAAACTTTACTATGCATGTTGTTAACCAGCACATCCAGTACATGAAGACTAAGTAACAATTGGTTTCCGTTTCCCATGCAACATCAATGAGTAACATCAATATTGCTACATGTTTTTGTTTTTCTATATAACAAAGGCAGACTCCACCTAACTTAGTATTGTAGTCCACATCCGCAATAAACTTGAATGTGAACTGAATGTTTGTTTAATGCCTATTCACACAATTTACATTCACACAGTCTTTCAGGTGTGTGGGTCTTTGGATGGCCCTACCAGACCTTGTTTGGGGAGTGTTGATTACATCTGGAGATGCTTGACCTGAGATGTTTGGATCTTCTTGTTGAGGTGCAGCGTCCACCTCTAGGTTGTGTTCCGCACCCTGCTGGGCGTCAGCTGGTGCTCTGTTTATTGGCTCTATTTCTCTGCTCTTTTCCCAGGGACGCTTTGGTGCTTTGTGTGGCCTCAGCGTCCCTTTCCGCTGCTTCACACCCCATGCAGTGCAGGTGCTACATTGTTCTATGTATGTTCTGAGTTGTGCATTCATGCCCGGCCAGTAGACACCCTCGGGAGTTCTTCTCAGACATCCCTCGATTCCTATGTGTGAGGATTGGATTCTCTGCATTCTCTGACCTGAGGGCAGCAGGCACAACGACTCGCTCACCTCTGAAGATAACTCAATTTTGCACACTCAGCTCATCTCTGTTGTGAAAATACATGGCTACCTCCAAGGGTACATGTTCTTTCACTTCAGGCCACCCCGGCAGGATCACATTTTTCAGTGTCTGGAGCTCCCGGCCCAGCTTAGTGGCTCTGGATGGCCTTTTGTCTCTCGCTTGACACAGGCAGGTAGTGTATCGTGTTGATTGATTCCACCTCGACCTCCACAGGGCCTCTATTTTCTTGTTCTGCGAGGTACGTCCTGCTCAGGGTGTCGGCCAGCACCCAGGAACGTATTGGAGACTGACCTTGTAGTTTTGGAGTCTCATGATCATGTGTTGTTGTCAGCTTCTCCGGATTCAGCTTGATATTGAGCTTCCTGCATCTGTCCAGGAGCATTCTCAGGTTCCTTTCATGGTCCAGAGTCGCTGCTTCGTAGTTGTCTCCTTCTCCCACAATCAGGATGTCATCTGCAATGATTTTGACTCCTGGAAGACCTTCCATTGCCTTGTTCAACTTCCTCTGAAAGATCTCCAGGGCTGGACTGATTCACATTGGCATTCACAGCCACCTGTAGCGTCCCATGGGAGTAGAGAACGTGGTGAGATAGCTGGATTCCTCCTCCAGTTCCACATGCCAAAATCTGTTTTTTACATCACAAACAGAACACGCGTGCTCTGTTCAGGTCTGGCAGCACGTCTTCAATAGTGGGAAGTGGGTAATGGCTCCTCTTGAACGCCTTCTTGAGAGGTTTTGGATCAATACACACTTAGTTTTCCAGACGGTTTCTGCACTACGATCAGGCTGTTAATCAGTGGTTTTTTCAACTGCTTTTATCATCCATTTCTCTAGACCACTGAGCTCCTCTTTGAGTGGTTTATATAGTGCTACTGGCACTCTTCTCTTTGGCAGCTGGACGGGCTCCACTCGCTCATCCACTTCCAGCTTCAGTTTGCCTGGTAAGTATCTGTCTCCCATCAGCGTACTCCTGTTTTATTTGCTCTTTAGTCCAGGATCATGTTGCTTTCTTTTCAGGATGTTGTAATGCTGCACAGTAATCAACTCCATTTGCTGGATAGCCTTACTGCCTAGAATGGGCCTCCGCACGTTCTTGTTGAGTACGATGAATTCAACTCTGTAGGTTTTCATATTGCGTGGATTGATTACTTTGTGTGCACTTCCCCAGTGGCATCAGAGTACTCTTGTTATACATCACCAATACCTGACTGCAGGGCTCTAGGTGACTGTCTTTTGTGAGGTTTGCAGGGATAACATTACAACTAGCACCACAATCTAGCTGAAATCTGACAGACTTTTTGTTGACCAGCATGGTTGCAAAGAGAGCTGCATTGGGGCCTGTGGTTTTCTCCTGTACCACGTTGATGCTCTCTGACTTTGGCCCTAGTGTGATGCAGAGAACATCCTCACCGCTCTCTGAGTCAGCTGACACATTTTCCATCGCCAGGACTCTGTTTCTCTTGCTGGTCCCTGCACTTTTGCAAACCGTAGAGAAGTGATTGTTCTTTCCACAGGATTTACATTTTTTTTTTTTTCTCTCATGTGTCGTCCACAGTATCTGCATTGTATAATGCTCTGTCCCTCTGTAGGGTCTCCTCTCCCTCTCGGTCTCTCTTTCTGTGTTACTGCATGCATTGCTACAGGGCCATACACATTTGCTCTCTGTCTGGACAGTTCTGCAGCTCTTCCAATCTGTATGCCTCCAGCGATGCTATCTCTTTCATTGTTACCCAACGCTTAGGTTTACCTCCACTTTACTCATATCCTTCCATATCCTTGTCTGTACATAATGCCCTGAATCTTTTCTATAACACCCGGAAATCTGCCCCCTTTATTCTATGTACCCAACGCACTAGAAGACCAGTTCTTAAAGCCTTTAGCCGTATCCTTATTCTAGTCCTCCTCTGTTCCTCTGGTGATGTAGAGGCTAACCCAGGCCCTGCAGCCCTCAGTATCACTCCTACTCCCCAGGCGCTATCATTTGATGACTTCTGTAATCGCAAAAGTCTTGGTTTCTTGCACATAAATATCAGAAGTCTACTTCCTAAGTTTGAGTTATTCACTGCGTTAGCACACTCCGCCAACCCTGATGTTCTAGCAGTGTCTGAATCCTGGCTCAGGAAGGCCACCAAAAATTCTGAAATTTCCATCCCCAACTATAACATTTTCCGTCTAGATAGAACTGCCAAAGGGGGTGGAGTTGCAATCTACTGTAGAGATAGCCTGCAGAGCTCTATCATACTATCCAGGTCTGTGCCCAAACAGTTTGAGCGTCTACTTCTAAAAATCCACCTTTCCAGAAATAAGTCTCTCACTGTTGCCGCTTGCTACAGACCCCCCTCAGCCCCCAGCTGTGCCCTGGACACCATATGTGAATTGATTGCCCCCCATTTATCCTCAGAGTTTGTACTGCTTGGTGACCTAAATTGGGATATGCTTAATACCCCAGCCATCCTACAATCCAAGCTAGATGCCCTCAACCTCACGCAAATTATCAACGAACCTACCAGGTACAACCCTAAATCCGTAAACATGGGTACCCTCATAGATATCATCCTGACTAACATACCCTCTAAATACACCTCAGCTGTCTTCAACCAGGATCTCAGCGATCACTGCCTTATTGCCTGCGTCCGTAACGGGTCCGCGGTCAAACGACCACCCCTCATCACTGTCAAACGCTCCCTAAAACACTTTAGCGAGGAGGCCTTCCTAATTGACCTGGCCCAGGTATCCTGGATGGATATAGATCTCATTCCGTCAGTAGAGGATGCCTGGTTGTTCCTTAAAAGTAATTTCCTCTCAATCTTAAATAAACATGCCCCATTCAAAAAATACAGAACTAAGAACCGATATAGCCCCTGGTTCTCCTCAGACTTGACTGCCCTTGACCAGCACAAAAACATCCTGTGGCGTACAGCATTAGCATCAAATAGCCCCCGCGATATGCAACTTTTCAGGGAAGTTAGGAACCAATATACACAAGCAGTCAGGAAAGCAAAGGCTAACTTTTTCAAACAGAAATGTGCATCCTGTAGCACTAACTCCAAAAAGTTTTGGGACACTGTAAAGTCCATGGAGAATAAGAGCACTTCCTCCCAGCTGCCCACTGCACTGAGGCTAGGAAACACTATCACCACCGATAAATCTACAATAATCGAGAATTTCAACAAGCATTTTGCTACAGCTGGCCATGCTTTCCATCTGGCTACCACTAACCCGGCCACCAACTCTGCACCCTCTGCTGCAACTTGCCCATGCCCCCCCCGCTTCTCCTTCACACAAATTCAGACAGCTGATGTTTTGAAAGCGCTGCAAAATCTGGACCCCTACAAATCAGCTGGGCTAGACAATCTGGACCCTTTCTTTCTAAAACTAGCCGCCGAAATTGTCGCAACCCCTATTACTAGTCTGTTCAACCTCTCTTTCATAACGTCTGAGATCCCCAGAGATTGGAAAGCTGCCGCGGTCATCCCCCTCTTCAAAGGGGGTGACACTCTAGATCCAAACTGCTACAGACCTATATCCATCCTGCCCTGCCTTTCGAAAGTATTCGAAAGCCAAGTTAACAAACAGATCATCGACCATTTCGAATACCACCGTACCTTCTCCGCTATGCAATCCGGTTTCCGAGCTGGTCACGGGTGCACTTCAGCCACGCTCAAGGTCCTAAACGATATTATAACCGCGATTGATAATAGACAGTACTGTGCAGCCGTCTTCATCGACCTGGCCAAGGCTTTCGACTCTGTCAACCACCGCATTCTTATTGGCAGACTAAATAGCCTTGGTTTCTCAAATGACTGCCTCGCCTGGTTCACCAACTACTTCTCAGATAGAGTTCAGTGTGTCAAATCGGAGGGCCTGTTGTCTGGACCTATGGCAGTCTCTATGGGGGTGCCACAGGGTTCAATTCTTGGGCCGACACTTTTCTCCGTGTATATCAATGATGTCGCTCTTGCTGCTGGTGACTCTCAGATCCACCTCTACGCAGACGACACCATTTTGTATACATCTGGCCCTTCATTGGATACTGTGTTAACAAACCTCCAAACGAGCTTCAATGCCATACAACAATCCTTCAGTAGCCTCCAACTGCTCTTAAACACTAGTAAAACTAAATGCATGCTTTTCAATCGAACGCTGCTGGCACCCGCCCACCCGACTAGAATCACCACTCTCGACGGGTCTGACCTAGAGTATGTGGACAACTACAAATACCTAGGTGTCTGGTTAGACTGTAAACTCAACTTCCAGACTCACATAAAGAATCTCCAATCCAAAGTTAAATCTAGAATCGGCTTCCTATTTCGCAACAAAGCCTCCTTCACTCATGCTGCCAAACATGCCCTCGTAAAACTGACTATCCTACCGATCCTTGACTTCGGCGATGTCATTTACAAAATAGCCTCCAACACTCTACTCAGCAAATTGGATGTAGTCTATCACAGTGCCATCCGTTTTGTCTCCAAAGCCCCATACACTACCCACCACTGTGACCTGTACGCTCTTGTTGGCTGGTCCTCACTACATGTTCGTCGTCAAACCCACTGGCTCCAGGCCATCTATAAATCATTGCTAGGCAAATCCCCGCCTTATCTTAGCTCATTGGTCACCATAGCAGCACCCACCCGTAGTCTGCGCTCCAGCAGGTATATCTCACTGGTCATTCCCAAAGCCAACACCTCCTTTGGCCGCCATTCCTTCCAGTTCTCTGCTGCCAATGACTGGAACGAATTGCAAAAATCTCTGAAGCTGGAGACTCTTATCTCCCTCAATAACTTTAAGCATCAGTTGTCAGAGCACCTTACCGATCACTGCACCTGTACACAGCCCATCTGAAATTAGCCCACCCAACTATCTCATCCCTATATTGTTATTTATTTTGCACCCCAGTATCTCTATTTGCACATAATCTCTTGCACATCTAGCATTCCAGTGTTAATACTATTGTAATTATTCTGCACTATAGCCTATTTATTGCCTTTCCTCCATAACTTGCTACATTTGCACACACTGTATATATATTTTCTGTTGTATTTCTGACTTTATGTTTTTTACCCCATATGTAACTCTGTGTTGTTTTTATTGCACTACTTTGCTTTATCTTGGCCAGGTCGCAGTTGTAAATGAGAACCTGTTCTCAACTGGCTTACCTGGTTAAATAAAGGTGAGAAGAAAAAAAAAGAAAGAAAAAAAAACATTCCTTTCTCTAAACTGAGATCAGTCTCTCTGAGTAAGCGCTCTCTTAAGTGTGGGTCACAGGTGCCACACACAATCCTGTCCCTGATAAGGGAGTCTGTGATTACTCCAAAGTTGCAGGTGGCCACTGGAGTCCTCAATTCAGTGAGATATTTGTCTAAACTCTCATCTTGGCCTTGACTGCGCATGGAAAAATGATATCTCTCAATCGTTTCATTTTTCTTGGGATCACAAAATGCATCGAGTGCTGCAATTACTTCAACAAAGAGATTGTCTTTTGTACTGCCCAAATGGACAGTCTCACAAATCTCTCTGTCTTTTTCCCAAATGAGATAATACAGTAGCTTCACTTTGTAATCCTCAGGTTTTTCTCCCATTGTAAGAGCAATGTACAAATTGAATTCCTCTTTCCATCTTTTCCAGGTCAGTGCTGAATTACAATCATCAAAGTCAATTTTTCAAGGAGGTTTCAGTGCATTTTCCATGGCGATTTATTTGTAGAATGGAATGTTACCTACTCACAAATCTGCTTATGTCCAATAGCCAGTTAGCTTTTAGCATAGAGTCACTCACGATAGCCAGCTAGCGTTGACTTTCGGTTTACAACATAACATAACACTCGGGGCGGCAGGTAGCTTAGTGGTTAAGAGCGTTGTGCTAGTAACCGAAAGGTCGCTGGTTCTAATCCCCGAGCCCACTAGGTGAAAAATCTGTCGATGTGCCCTTGAGCAAGGCACTTAACCCTAATTGCTCCTGTAAGTCGCTCTGGAGAAGAGTGTCTGCTAAATGACACACACAAAAAAAAAACATATATACAAAAAAAACAAAAAACAAAAAACATTTTGTGTTGATTTAGTGCCTTAAAGTGTTCATACCCCTTGGATTTCTTCACATTTTACTGTGTTACCAAGTGGGACTAAAATGGATTAATTGTAATTTTTTGTCAACAACCAACACCAAATACTCTGTCAAAGTGGAAGAAATGTGTAAAATTTAAGATGAATAGAAATTAAATAACTAAGATATAGTTGTTGCATAAGTATTCAGCTCCCCAAGTCAATACATGTTAGAATCACCGTTGGCAGCAATTACAGCTGTGAGTCTTCTTGGGTAAGTCTCTAAGAGCTTTACACACCTGGATTGTGCAATGTTAGCACATTATTATTTTCATCATTATTCAAGCTCTGTCAAGAAGTTGAGGATCATGTCTAGACAGCAGTTTTCAAGTCATCATAGATTTTCAAGCAGATTTAAGTCAAAACTGTAACTTGGCCACTCAGGAACATTCACTGTCTTCTTGGTAAGCAACAACAGTGTAGATTTGGCCTTGTCTTGTAGGCTATTGTCCTGCTGAAAGGTGAATTCGTCTCCCAGTGTCTTTTGTAAAGCAGACTGAACCAGGTTTTCCTCTAGGATTTTGTATGTGCTTAGATCAGTGGTTCTCAATCCTGGTCCTGGGCCCCCAAAGAGGTGCACATTTTAGTTTATGCCTTAGTACTCCACACCTGATTCAAATGATCAAAGCTTGATGATGAGTTGATCATTTGAATCTGCTGTTTAGTGCTAAGGCAAAAACAAAAATGTGCGCCCCTTTGGGTCCCCAAGACCAGGATTGAGAGCTTAGAGCCGTCCCGTTTCTTTTCATCCTGAAAAATTCCCTGGTATTTGCCGATGTCAAGCATACCCATACCACGATGCAGCCACCAGCATGCTTGAAAATAAGGAGGCAGTTACTCAGTGATGTGTAGGATTTGCGCCAAACATAAGGCTTTGCATTTAGGCCCCCAGAAAATATTCCTTTGCCTTGTTTTAGTTTTTTCAGTATTAATTTAGTGCCTTGTTGCATGCAAGATTCATGTTTTGTAAATATTTTTTATTCTGTATATTTGTATTCTTCTTTTCACTCTTTAATTTAGGTCATTATTGTGGAGTCACTACAATGTTGTTGATTCATCCTCAGTTCTTCCATCACAGCCATTGAACTCTGTAACTATCTTAAATCACCAATGGCCTCATGGTAACACCCTGTCCTGCAGCTCAGTTCAGAGGGATGACTGTATATTTGATGTGTCTGAGTGATTTAATACATCACCCACAGCATAATTATTAACTTGACCATTCTTAAAGAGATATCCAAAGTCTGATTTGTTATTGTTACCCATCTATCAATCACTGCCCTTCTTTATGAGGCTTTCGAAAAGCTCCATGGTCTTTGTAGTTGAATATGTGCTTGAAATTTGACTGAGGGACCTTACAGATGTATGTATGGTGGACAGAGGAATGGTTAGTCATCCAAAAATCATGTCAACCCCTATTATTTCACACAGAGTGAGTCCATGTAACTTATTATGTGATTTGTTAAGCCAAATGTTACTCCTGAACTCATTTAGGCTTGCCTGAACAAAGGTGCTGAATACTTATGCAATTTTACTTTCCTAATTTGTATTAATCTTTAAATAAGGTTAGAATTTTTCTTCCACTGACATTACAGAGTCAGGGGCGGTGTGTTCAATAGGGCGATATGGGCGACGCACTGCCAAACGGGAAAAGGAAGGGATTTTTTTTCTAATCAATTATATCACGGCAACAGTAGTTATCAGTGTTGTAATCTAGACGTCTGATCTGCCACAGTGCCACTAAATGTCCAATCAGGCTAAAGTCGTGCTTCAAATGCCCCCCCCCCCCCTTTGGGGCGATTTCAGTCAGGTTGAAAATCGCCCAGAAGTCTGTCATAGACTCCCATGTAAAATCTATTTTTTTCAAATATCAGAGCTTTCAATACAATCTCTATGGGTTTCTGAGGGCTTGCACTTACGCGCTTTCGTCATACGTAACATAACCATGAACGTAACTAAGAAAAGAGCGGGTAGCAGCGTCAATCAATTCACTATTACTGTCAAAATGGCTAGGCTTCAGTGCAACTCGATTGTGTCTTTGAAAGAAGTTCCTTTTTGTCGGCGAACAAATGAAGATAAATTGGCAACGAAACAATTAGGACCTCCCAGACCAAATTTAATAATTCAACAGGTTTCTACTAAAGGGGGGAAGTCCTACACCCGAGGATTTTCCAAAAATTGGTACGAACGAAAAACCTGGCTAGCAGGCTGCGATGTAGCTAATGCAGTCTTCTGCTACCCCCTGCTTACTCTTTCACCCTGAAGGCGGCACGGCAGACAGCACCGCTTGGACAGCGACTGGTGTGTAACGGACATGCACCATCTTTCAGGAAAGATTAAGAAACATGAGCTGTCAAAGACCCACATGGATAGCTGTTTGAGATTGTCTGCTTTGGGGAGAGTGAACATTCCCACTCAACTGGATGAGGGATACAGGCTAGCTGTCCGCCGCCACAACGATGAGGTTAGTGTTGATAATCACAAGTTTACTGGAGAACTGAAACTGACAAGGCTGACAAGATAGGACCCTTTTGTCCATTGTTATTGGATAGGAACAGAACTTATAACCAGCTCCTGACCTAAATAGATCTTAGCACAACATTTTACTCAACATATCATATTCCATATTCACTATAACAAATATATTTACTACGACATTAGCAAGAACCGCCACATCCTCAGCCGGCTAATCCAGTGTGTGAAGTTTTGCGGAGTGTTTGAGTTAGCTTTGCGAGGCAAAGATGAAACTGAGGGCTCCACCAACCCTGGTAAGCCAACACTTTTGAGATCAGTCAATAAATGCTTCTGGTATTGACTTATATGCTGCCCCTGTCTTCATGTTGTTGCTGGACATATCTTTCTTAAAATGTGTGTAGGTCACCTAAATCATCAGAAAAATTGCCCCCCCCTGAGAAATTTTTCAGGAGCCGCCACTGTACAGAGTATTGACTAGATTGTTGACAAAAAAATTACAATTAAATCAGAACATTTTTAAGGAAGAAATCCAAGGGGTATGAATACTTGGAACTCCATTTTCCATTACCTTGCAGCGCAGGCAGGAGTGTTGCCCCAGTCTGTTGCAGGAAGCACCTGAAATGAACATGGGGGAAAATACAGCATATATTAACACATTGAAAATGATTATTTCATCAGTATTGCTAGGGGTTAACCTTTCTCTAAACTTTCAATTGGCAGAATGCCTACTTTTGTCTAATCATTGCACGGTGTGCCTCATACCTGCCAAAGTATGCCCTAAGGACTGAAAGCTCTTGATTTCTCATAATCCAACACAATGTGGATGATTGACGGGTGAGAAAGACACCCTAATAGCTCACATTTGTAAGTCTCCGCCTCCAGGACCTGGCAACTGGCTTGGTGCTCAAACTGGTCATCCTCACATAGGAAGTTGTGGCAGAAGGAGCAACGGTATACCCTTCCCCCTGTGTCAGATAGGAAAAAAGGGGAATGATTACAAAATAGACAAGGTGGATGGCAACCAGCATTTAGGTGCATGTATTAACAATTTTATAGGCCTTGTTTATGTTTTGCAGACCAGGCAGGTTTATAAATGGCATAATTTACCATGGTCCCACACACAGCGTTCACACTCAATACAGTCGGCATCCATGAGAGGACATGTGCAAGCATGGGTACTGAGGCACTTTCTCCCGTGGCACACCCAGGCCTCACAGAAGTCACACACCGCCCCCTTGTGGACAGAGACAACATTTCACATTACACATATGAATATCCAATGATAAATGAATGACTGGACAATCTGGGCACATATGACAATGTTAAATAGATGCAGGCCTACACCAGGGGTGTATTCATTACGTCTTGCAATGGAAACCATTTAAGAACCAAACGAAAGCAAACGAAACGGGGAGGGACCTACCTTCAATTTGTCCAATAGAACAAAACATTTTTCATTTGGAGTAAACAGTTACAAAACGTTTTACAACAGAATCAGCATAATGAATACACCCCAGGGTCATATTCACTAGAAACCAAAGGAGGCAAACTATTGGGGACTACCTGAATTTGACCGATAAGAAACACTTGTTTTCGTTTTGCTATGTTTTTCTATGGTGTGCACTAATGATTACTACTCAGTATTATCTACATCTCAATGGGAATAATAACGTTTTTCAAACTGCTCTCATCTCTTACCACCATGCCCATTCCTGTAGCGTGGATCCCTGGATGCTTGATGACACAGTCTGAAGACTTCATGCATTTGGTTTTGCCTTTAGTTGGAATACAGGAAGACAGTCTCACACCACAACATAACATTATACATGGTCCTTGCACTCCTGTACAAATATCTTATGTGTAATATTGTGCAATATCTTTCTTTGCCACCTGAGGGGATAAATCAAGTTGTATTGAATGAAGTTGGGCTCAAAGAGCTCAAGGGGTTTTTAAATCAGAAAATTGCCATGCATCACAATTTATATTAGACTCACCACATTGACCGCACTGGGGCAGCTTCTGAACGTTGGCACAGAAGTAGCAGAAAGCTCTGTTCTTCTGCCGTCTTGGGTGTCATTGAAACAGGGGAACAAAGTGTCAAAGCCTCCATCACCTGTAGATTATAGTTGCTAATAAAGAAATAATGTATCTTGTTCACATAGTTGAATTGTGTTTACACAGACCAATGTTAGGTAGTTAAGTTATCCATTAAGATGAATGTAAAAAATATTGAAGATGTCTTACCTCTGGCATTTGTCACATTCCTGCAACACAAGATGAGGACTACAGTAAGTCCTAGGGAAATAATCATGTTTTTCAGTAATCGTTAACTATCCAGTTGATATTATGCTGTGATGAGAACATGTATATTATTCCATCATTCCATACCATTGCTGAATTGCAAGGGGACTTTGCAACGTCAACAAAGCCCTTGTTGGCGCGAGTCTGTTTCTCCCGTTCCTTGCGGTTCTCTGCCTTCTTGCGGGCACCGGTCTTCTTTTTCGGCATCTTTCAGTTTCTGTAGCTGGCTTCACCTGGGAAGGCATGTGGTGGATAAGCAAGCTAGCTAGCATTCCATAGCTAGCTAACATGCCATAGCTAGTTAACTAACCAAGCCAGCTCAATCAATGGCATTACATCTTGACAGACTGGACACACATCATTCTTCTGGGTCCTTACGAAAATATACATGTTGTAAAACTGTATTAGCTAACGTTAATTAGTTAGGTATCTACGTAAGAAAGAAATAAAACAAGTAGGCATTTAGCAATCTATCTACTTACTGTACGTGTGCTGAGCAACACAGTTCACACACGAGCTAGCTAGCTTGACTTCATGGAAATACCAAATGCAGCAACGAATGTAATATAAAGTAATTTTATAATTAACAGATAAAAGCCTTAACCGATATGTGCTGTTTATATATTTTTTAACACATGATAACCCAAAATGTAACGATAAACTTACCAGGAATGTTACAATCCACGACTGGCTCAGCTGTGACAGGAAGTTACAGAACAGATCTTTAGTCCGACTGAATATTCTTCTCGACTGAATTGTGATCCGCCTTTTCGTTCCTATGTGAGTTCCTATATTTCTACTGTACATTAATTTTCCTTGCGCTCAATGAAATGTTATATTAAAGTATGAATGTTATATTACATCATGGTTTGACCAATTAAGGCTGTTATTATCAAATGTTAAATTGTATCACGCTAGTTCAAAAATACATATTTTTTGTATTTATATTTTATTCTAATCACTTCAGTCACCTGCCACGATGACCCATGAATGTTGTTAAAATTAACAGGGCTTTACCAAAGAAGCCTTTGCAATGTTTCTTTCTGTATGAAAATTGTATGCACTCACTAAATGTAAGTCGCTCTGGATAAGAGCGTCTGCTAAATGACTAAAATGTAAAAAATGTAATGTAACGTAAACTACGGCGAGTTGGTACACAATGCCCCAGCAGATGGCAGTAAACCATTCTTTTCATCACATACTCGAGGTCTTGGTGGTTTCAATCAGTGTAGGCTGGTGGGAGGAGCTATAGGAGGACGGGCTCATTGTAATGGCTGGAATGAAATGAAACGGTATCAAACACATCACACATATGGAAACCACGTTTGACTCCGTTCCTCTATTCCATTCCAGCAATTACAATGAGCCCATCCTCCTATAGCTCTTCCCACCAGCCTCCACTGATGTCAATGTTTTACGCCAGTAGTTCTCTGTACGCCCCCAACCACATTTTGTGCCTAGATATTATCTGATGGGGGGACAGACAAACATTGATGGCTGATGGTGGAACAGTATCTGCTAAAGAAACATACAGGGGAATGTGTGATGGAGGCGCTAACCTCTGTTCTGCAGCCAGGAATGAGTGAAAGTTTCACTGTATCCAGGACAACATAGGCTAACTGCAGTGGTCAAAAAACAAGATCCCACCATTATAACACAATGGGTCAGCAAGGCCATTGGAACTTAAGTCTACACCTTGTCTGCAGAACACAGGCCTAACACACCTTCGCATCAAAGGAAATAGGCTACAGTAGTTGGCTACTACATGTCTGTAAATGTATACTAGCCAAAAATATAGATGCAACATGCAACAAATTCAAAGATTTTACTGAGTTACAGTTCATATAAGGAAATCAGTCAATTAAAATAAATAAATTAGGCCCTAATCTATGGATTCACATAACTGGGAATGCAGATATGCATCTGTTGGTCACAGATAGCTTTTTAAAAAGGTAGGGGCGTGGATCAGAAAACCAGTCAGTATCTGGTGTGACCAACATTTGCCTAATGCATGACACATCTCCTTGGCATAGAGTTGATCAGGCTGTTGATTGTGGCCTGTGGAATGTTGCCCCACTCCTCTTCAATGGCTGTGCAAAGTTGCTGGATATTGGAGGGAACTGGAACGCGCTGTCGTACACGTCGATCCAGAGCATCCCAAACATGCTCAATGGGTAACATCGTCCGCAGCACAAGGTGCACCTGTGTAATGATCATGCTGTTTATTCAATAAAATGAGCTTTTTGTGCGTTTGGAACATTTATGGGATCTTTTATTTCAGCTCATGAAACATGGGACCAACACTTTACATGTTGGGTTTATAGTTTTGTTCAGTGTAATCGCTTACACATGTATGAGCTTTAGCAGTGTTCCCATGTAAGCTAAGTAGTTCTAAAACGTCATTCTCTCTCATTCTTCCATTAGAAGTATCCCTCTCCTCCCATGAGTGCCCTCAAATTTCCCAGCTGGTATTCCTTTCCCGAGAGCCATTCTTATGTAACTAACTGTATTTGGTGGCTCCAAATTACAATAATATGTGAGTGGGAGCGACCTGCTAAGTCATCCCCAGTGAAACTGAACCAGGTGGCCTGTGGATCCGCCAGCCATTGTAATAAAACCCTGGTGTCTGGGTAATGATGATGATGTTCTGTGACAGCTGTGTTGTGCTCACAGGGGATGACTCGATGGCGATACACCCTGGTTGCATCACAACCAGCTGTTTCGGGTGAGGTGGGCGACAGACAGAGGGAGAGAGGTGTACATACAGCAGACATTACATATTGTGACATTGTGCAGACAGTTGAATGAGTACTCATAGGCCTCTATACTCTACGGCTTCAATGACATCCATATTACTGTTGATTTGTTTGTTGAATGTAGGCCTATATGGACTCATATCTTGGGTTGGACTGATAATGAAATGAACCAGCTGCTATGAGTAGTTATCTTTCCTATATCCACACTAGTACTCAGGATGTATTTGGAATGCATTCTAGATACACTACATGGACAAAAGTACCTGGACACCTGCCCGTCGAACATCTCATTCTAAAATCATGGGCATTAATATGGAGTTGGTCCCCCCTTTGCTGCTATAACAGACTTGCTTCCATTCAGCCAAAAGAGCATTAGTGAGGTCGGGCATTGATGTTGGGCGATTAGGCCTGGCTCGCAGTCAGCGTTCCAATTCATCCCAAAGGTGTTTGATAGGGTTGAGGTCAGAGCTCTGTGCAGGCCAGTCAAGTTCTTCCACACCGATATCGACAAACCTCGCTTTGTGCACAGGGGCATTGTCATGCTGAAACAGGAAAGGGCCTTCCCCAAACTGTTGCCACAAAGTTGGAAACACAGAATTGTCTAGAATGTCATTGTATGCTGTAGCGTTAAGATTTCCCTTCACTGGAACTAAAGGGCCTAGCCGGAACCATGAAAAACAGCCCCAGACCATTATTCCTCCTCCACCAAACTTTACAGTTGGCACTATACATCGGGGCAAGTAGCGTTCTCCTGGCATCCGCCAAACCCAGATTTGTCCGTCAGACTGCCAGATGGTGAAGCATAATTCATCACTCCAGAGAACGCGTTTCCACTCCTCCAGAGTCCAATGGCGGCAAGCTTTACACCACTCCAGCCGACGCTTAGCATTGCGATCTTAGGCTTGTGTGCGGCTGCTCGGCCATGGAAACCCATTTCATGAAGCTCCCGATGAACAGTTCTTGTGCTGACGTTGCGTCCAGAGGCAGTTTGGAACTCGGTAGTGAGTGTTGCAACCGAGGACAGGCGATTTTAACGTGCTGCACGCTTCAGCACTCGGCGGTCCCGGGCCACTTCGCAGCTGAGCCGTTGTTGCTCCTAGACGTATCCACTCCACAATAACAGCACTTACAGTTGACGGGGGCAGCTCTACCAGGGCAGAAATTTTACGAACTGACTTGTTGGAAAGCTGGTATCCTATGACGGTGCCACATTGGAACATATGATGGTAATTTACATATTTTATATTGGCCAATGAATCATGTCAGAATAAATCATTTCAATAGCATTGGCTCACCCTGATGGTATCAGAGAGGGTTAACATAAACATTAATGACAATAATGAAATAGAAACCAGACAGCTTCACCGCAGTTGGAAAAAACTTGCAATAAAATGTATTGTACCTCACAATCATTGACTCACACACGTGCAACATTGTACCATAGAACTGTACTGTATATCATTAACACTACCAAAAATATTTACATATTCCTCTATATAACAAAATAGCAATACATTTTTGTAACAATCCCCAAACCCACAGCTGGTATACAGGTCTAAATAAAATAACCCAGACTAACAAACAGCACATATAGTGACAATTAAGTAATGTACCATTTCCAATACTGTAGCCCTCTTTCTTAAAAACATGGTCATGTCAACTGTCAACCGCATTCAAGGTCAACCGTATTCAAAAGACCCTTTGTGTCATTTCAATGTAGTATACAGAACTCTCCTTCAAGTGATAAAGTGCATTCTAGGTAGGGTGGGTTCACAACCAGTTAAAGAAAGACAATAAGAAAGAGAACTAAAAGCAAAATGGAAATGATGAGGAGTTTCTATTATGTAATTTGATGTATACCTGAAATAATTATACCATCATTGGAGTAAACAAGAATCTACTATAACATTATAATATGTGCATTCATTACTTTATACTTGGGAGAACATCCCGGTTTCTATAAGTGTCCATTACGAACTAATATAACGGATATTCATTTGAATTCTCTGTTCAAATCAAGGCCAGTGCTTCTTCATGGTCATTAAAGAGAATAAGTGGATGTAAGAGTTTGCTGTGAATGGAGAGAATATGAGAGAATGACCTTTTAGGAAATGAAGTCAATTAAACACCACCCCTTACATGAAACAGGAAGCAATTAAAGGCTTTTAAATGTTCTGGCTTCACACAAGTGAAGATGTCAGACACGCATACACACACTACAATCAGGATCTATCAAAACCCTCCTCTGGTACAAAAAGGCAAACGCTCCCCAAGCTTAATTGCTTCGTCTTATCTTGTCCCCCTGTGCAATACAAACAAATGGGCAGATGGAAACTGTGTGGTGTGTGGTGTGTTGTGTGTGTGTGTGTGTGTGTGTCCCAAGAGGGAACTCAATGCTGTTAGGTGTTTCTAGGGCCCTCAGCCCATAGTAACATCTGTAGAGCTGTGTGTGGAGAGGCTAGATGAGACTACCATATTTGAATGGATCTCTAGTATTCTGGCCTGGGATGTCATGAGTTATGGTGGTGCACTTAACACTTCCACGACTCCATCCCCATTCTCACCCCTTCTCCCATACTGTGCTGCTCCCATCACTGATTTAAAAGCACTGGATTGGTGTAAACATTGGCTGGAGGGCATTTCCACCATTATAAAATCCATTACGTGACGTGTGCACACTTGTGGAGAATCGGAACGCAAAAAGTAACCATAACTGGGAAGAATATGCTTTTAACTGAGCCCTGTTCAATGCATGACCCAACCACTCTTCAGTCTTCATTCAATCGATTGATCAAATATACATTTATAACGCTTATACAATACTAATCACACAAATGTAGTGTATTTCACAAACTGCTACTGCAAAACAAAGCCACACATAATGAGTCTGACACAGTAGGAGGGCAGATGTACCTAATACATAAGCTTTGGAGATTTCAACATTCTCCCATAGATTATGTAATCCTTCTCTGATTGACAAGGACAGGGGGGATTATGGGTAATATGAGCTTCTTACATAACTGGGAGTTGATTGGTTGGCGACCTAAAGGGACCAATGATTAAATGAACGAACACATAGTAAGGAAGAGAAACCCAGTATCAAATTGTAGATAGTCAATGAAAACAGTGATCTTGTGCTTTTTCATGCAGATTTTAGCCTGAAAATCTAATCTAAATGGCATATTAAAGCAATTTAAGATGATCAGCTGTTGGGGAGAAAGTACACATTTGTAAATAAATCAATGTGTTGAAAACCTTGAGGGGACTCCAAAGGAAAGAGGAATCAAACTCTAATAAAAAATGGCCTTTGATACAATTACAGTGCAGCAATCAAAATCAGGGGAGGAAGGACATAAACCATGAGTTAATAAATCAAATTCAAAATGCATCAGCATTACCAGTGAGCTCTTGAAACCAGGCAACTATTCGCTCTACTCCATTTCTCCTGGACTGTAAACATTTCCCACATTTTCTTTTTCTTACAAAAAATAAACGTATTTTCATATTAAAATAAATGCCGTTCAGACGACTTTCGTTTCCCTACACGGATGTACAAAAAAACGGCCATTTTGAAATTCATCATAGGAAGAAAAAAAAAGTTTTATCCTCAGAAGAAATGACTAAGAGGTACAAACTATCTGCAACAGGGTTTAGTCAACTCTTTCATAATGAATTCACAGTCAACCAAAGCCATAACCAATGCATGGTATTCCTTTGCCAGGAGCTATTGCTCTACATGGACCGGTTGCCTCCCACAATGTACCAATGTTCCAGCATACCAGGGCTGTTGCCCTAGGTCTGGGATTTCCGAGACTAAGGTCTATCTAATACACCGACTTCAGATATACACTACCATTCAAAAGTTTGGTGTCACTTAGAAATGTCCTTGTTTTCGAAAGAAAAGCAATATTTTTGTCCATTACAATAACATCAAATTGATCAGAAATACAGTGTAGACATTGTTAATGTTGTAAATGGCTATTGTAGCTGGAAACGGCTGATTTTTTTATGGAATATCTACACAGGCGTACAGAGGCCCATTATCAGCAACCATCAGTCCTGTGTTCCAATGGCACGTTGTGTTTGCAAATCCAAGTTTATAATTTTGAAAGGCTAATTGATCATTAGAAAACCCTTTTGCAATTATGTTAGCATAGCTGAAAACTGTTGTGCTGATTAAAGAAGCAATAAAACTGGCCTTCTTGAGACTAGTTGAGTATCTGGAGCATCAGCAATTGTGGGTTCGATTACTGGCTCAAAACGGCCAAAAACAAAGAACTTTCTTCTGAAACTCGTCAGTCTATTCTTGTTGTGAGAAATGAAGGCTATTCCATGCGAGAAATTGCCAAGAAACTGAAGATCTCGGACAACGCTGTGTATTACTCCCTTCACAGAACAGCGCAAACAGGCTCTAACCAGAATAGAAAGAGGAGTGGGAGGCCCCGGTGCACAACTGAGCAAGAGGACAAATACCTTAGAGTGTCTAGTTTGTCATATCTCAGACTGCCCATCTTAATCTTTTATTTTGGCCAGTCTGAGATATGGCTTTTTCTTTGCAACTCTGCCTAGAAGGTCAGCATCCCGGAGTCGCCTCTTCACTGTTGACGTTGAGACTGGTGTTTTGCGGGTACTATTTAATGAAGCTGCCAGTTGAGGACCTGTGAGGCATCTATTTCTCAAACTAGACACTAATGTATTTGTCCTCTTGCTCAGTTGTGCACTGGGGCCTCCCACTCCTCTTTCTATTCTGGTTAGAGCCAGTTTGCGCTGTTCTGTGAAGGGATTATTACACAGCGTTGTACGAGATCTTCAGTTTCTTGGCAATTTCTCATATGGAATAGCCTTCATTTCTCATAACAAGAATAGACTGACGAGTTTCAGAAGAAAGTTATTTGTTTATGGCCATTTTGATCCCGTAATCGAACCCACAATTGCTGATGCTCCAGATACTCAACTAGTCTCAAGAAGGCCAGTTTTATTGCTTCTTTAAATCAGCACAACAGTTTTCAGCTGTGCTAACATAATTGCAAAAGGGTTTTCTAATGATCAGTTAGCATTTTAAAATGATAAACTTGGATTTGCAAACACAACGTGCCATTGGAACACAGGACTGATGGTTGCTGATAATGGGCCTCTGTACGCCTATGTAGATATTCCATAAAAATCAGCCGTTTCCAGCTACAATAGCCATTTACAACATTAACAATGTCTACACTGTATTTCGGATCAATTTGATGTTATTTTAATGGACAAAAAAATTGCTTTTCTTTCGAAAACAAGGACAGACATTTCTAAGTGACCCCAAATTTTAAACGGTAGTGTAGTAAAATGTAATTTACTTTTAAATCGACAGACAACTTCGATGTGCTTTTCACTACCCAACCAATGGGTGAAATCAACACACCCACAATGCCATCTCGCTTTGTCTTCTAGAAACAGAAGCAACATCAATACAAAAAACTAAACTGCAAGAGCTTGGCACAGCACTGCAGACACACATTATGTTAGGTAACAGACGATTTCACCACATGCTATTGGGTGGCTCGACTGGGAGATGACATGACATTAAAATTGAATTAAATTCCCATCAGCCACTACAATAGCCTCCTGTGTTGAGTTACTGGTGGTGCTAATAAAGCGATGAAACAGGACAGTAGCTGACTGGCTGACATCATCACTACAAATCTCCATTACTGTGAGCTGTGACTGTCGACTGGTGGGGTAAAACAAACTCTTGTTTGTTTAGATTGTCTTCACAACACATGGTGTACAGTACTTCAGAAGTGGAAAAAACTATAGTCCCTAAATTAAGGATAAGGATGCAATTTAACAATCTGATATTTAGAAATGCTTGACAATATGTGCATAATGTAAATGCTACAATACCGACAGTGTTGAATGTTATTGAAATTATTTCAAGCAGAGATGGTGAAAAAAGTAAATGCTGGTCACTCAAAACACGCACTAACTGTTTTTGACACTCAAAGCCCATGCTGCAGGAGGCTTATATTGACCATATATAGATAGATAGATAGATAGATAGATAGATATTCCTATAACTAGATGTAAAGATTTCCGTGTTTCATTCTGGAATACGTTGGCAGTGATGATCTCGTAGAAAGAAATCAAAATGTCACAGAGTCAATAAAGTGATGGTGACATGGAGACAACTAACAGAGGTGCCCCCAGTCCAGAGGCTAATAACAAGAGCTGTGATTGGCTGCCTGGTTTCCATGGTGACTGAACGTGACTGTAGTCAGAAAAGTGAGGCAGGACAGGAGGAACCATAGTTGGGAGTAGATGAGGCAGTGGGGACAGATAGGTGTGTTGCACTGCTATGGGTTCTATTGCTTGGTTGTCTCTTATTTATTTGGAGCCACTACCTCCCATCAGGGGGACAGGCGCTGCACCTTCGGTCTCGTTTCTCATCTCCATGGCAACCCTGTGAGCTTCCTTCCTGCTTGGCTCTGATTGGCTCAGGACTTGGCCTCGTCACGGTCGTGCCCGAGGGAGAGCTCCATGTCGGACAGACCCACCTCCACAGCCAGGATGAGGGAGGTGTCCGAGTCGCTGCTCAGTGGGGGCTGGTGCTCACCTGCAGGGAGAGAGAGACCGGTCAGCACAGACACAACATGGTGGTCACCTTTAAAGAGACAGAGATACAGGTAAACCTGAATGGACCCAAAATGGCAATTAATTTGCAGCAGCAGAGACAAGATGAGGCTACTGATGAGGGCTTATCGCAGGGAACCTGACAAGAGATGTAAACTGCTCTGTAAATGCTGTGATGTCCACTTGACCAAAGACACACTGCACTACACAGGGTCTTAGGCAATAGCAGCACTACACAGGGTCTTAGGAGATAGTTGTTGTCATGTGGTGTTGCTACCATGCTGTGTTGTCGTGTTGCTGCCATGCTGTGTTGTTGTCTTAGGTCTCTCTTTGTGTAGTGTTGTGGTGTCTCTTGTCATGATGTGTGTTTTGTCCTATATTTATATTTTAATCCCAGCCCTCGTCCCCGCAGGAGGCCTTTCGCCTTTTGGTAGGCCGTCATTGTAAATAAGAATTTGTTCTTAACTGACTTGCCTGGTTAAATAAAGGTTAAATAAAAATGAATAGCAGTACTACACAGTCAGATGAATAGAAAACAACTAGAGAAGTACATGGGACCATCAATCTACTTCCAGCGACTAGTAGTCCCACTCCCACTCTGACACAACATGGAAACAACTCACAGATGCTCTCTATGGACTAACACCACTCCTGTCCCACTTTACAGCAGCAAATCAAGCCTTGCTGTAGCACGGTCCAAAGTGAAGGATAACCGTAATAAGTTAACAGACAGCGGTCGTTGTTCACGCTGGCGGGCATAGCGTGCACAGCGATCTGTCACTGCAACACGGCAATTCAGCAGAACACTGATAGATCAGCTCGTTCATCTCGGGGCGGTTGTCTGGCGGCGCCGTTAGCTAGTTAGCGCCACGACAAACAAACAACAGAACTCCCATTAACTCTGAGCTAATTGATGCAGGAAGAACACAGACTGTGTGACGGGCTGATAATGAGTCTCGCTTGACAACCAACACAACAGAACTAAACAGAGTGTGTGTGTGTGTGTGTGTGTGTGTGTGTGTGTGTGTGTGTGTGTGTGTGTGTGTTAATTACACATCATCCATTTCCAAATGCACTGGCAGAAGCTATTTGAATTATTTAGTAAAAGTGGAACTAATTTTACAACCATACAAGTTGTAAGCAGGCACCAAACATGAGCTGCATCCTCAAGGAGGTAATGACAAGGCCAACATAATACTAATATATAACGGTTAAATCCTGTCTGTCCATGGCTCCATTTTGTCATGGTTCCATAAAGGCTTGGAGGGGGAGAGAGGGCAGGGAGTCTGGGAGCGTGTCCTGAAACAGAGAGAGACTGGTGAGGAACAGAGAGAGACTGGTGAGGAACAGAGAGAGACTGGTGAGGAACAGAGAGAGACTGGTGAGGAACAGAGAGAGACTGGTGAGCAACAGAGAGAGACTGGTGAGCAACAGAGAGAGACTGGTGAGCAACAGAGAGAGACTGGTGAGGAACAGAGAGAGACTGGTGAGCAACAGAGAGAGACTGGTGAGCAACAGAGAGAGACTGGTGAGGAACAGAGAGAGACTGGTGAGGAACAGAGAGAGACTGGTGAGGAACAGAGAGAGACTGGTGAGGAACAGAGAGAGACTGGTGAGGAACAGAGAGAGACTGGTGAGGAACAGAGAGAGACTGGTGAGCAACAGAGAGAGACTGGTGAGGAACAGAGAGAGACTGGTGAGGAACAGAGAGAGACTGGTGAGGAACAGAGAGAGACTGGTGAGGAACAGAGAGAGACTGGTGAGCAACAGAGAGAGACTGGTGAGGAACAAGAGAGAGACTGGTGAGGAACAGAGAGAGACTGGTGAGGAACAGAGAGAGACTGGTGAGGAACAGAGAGAGACTGGTGAGGAACAGAGAGAGACTGGTGAGGAACAGAGAGAGACTGGTGAGGAACAGAGAGAGACTGGTGAGGAACAGAGAGAGACTGGTGAGGAACAGAGAGAGACTGGTGAGGAACAGAGAGAGACTGGTGAGGAACAGAGAGAGACTGGTGAGGAACAGAGAGAGACTGGTGAGGAACAGAGAGAGACTGGTGAGGAACAGAGAGAGACTGGTGAGGAACAGAGAGAGACTGGTGAGGAACAGAGAGAGACTGGTGAGGAACAGAGAGAGACTGGTGAGGAACAGAGAGAGACTGGTGAGGAACAAAGAGAGAGACTGGTGAGGAACAGAGAGAGACTGGTGAGCAACAGAGAGAGACTGGTGAGCAACAGATAGATACTGATGAGGAACAGAGAGAGACTGGTGAGAGGAGGAGAGGTTAAGGCTTGTGTTAGACAAGAGCTACTGACACTCTCCTAAGGTAGAGAGAGAGGGAGAGAGAGAGACAAGAGAGAGCGACAAGAAAGAAAGAGAGGGAGACTGATAAAGAGAGAAACTGACAGTCTGAATGTTATTGGGAGAGAGAGGAAGAAGCAGAAGGGAGGAGAGAGAGGCAGGGAGGGGAAGAAAGTGTGTCTCTGAGTGTGTGCCCGCCCCTGTAACCATGACAACCCCTCCAGATGGCCAGGGTTGATGTGTGTCCAGTGGAGGTCAGCTATCACCGGGAGGAGCCAGAACCCTGTCTCAGCACTGCAGACTGGCTCTAGCTCTGGCAGACAGGCGAACACAGACACACATCTCATCATCTATTCTCCACAGACACACACACCTCATCATAATCCTCTTAAAAGCCAGGAGCCTCTGTTAGCAACGCTACCTAACTATAATAACATCACTAGGGAGATCAGGTAGGAAAGACCAGGAGCACTTGGTATGACTCAGCTACTTGGAGGCTTTATTGTCCTGTATGACTCAACATGAACAGATCTGCTGGTTGTCACTACAAAGCAGGTTCAAGGAGTTAACCAGCTAACTGCCGGAATATTCTAAAATATGTTTTTGTTTGTTTATAAAGATAAGCTTGAAATGGGCATGGTCTAATTGATTCAACAACTAGAAACACATATCTAAAACGTAGCTTTCTTAATGAACCAGAAAATAAAAACTGTTATTTCTGGTTATTTATCAAAGTTAGCTGGCTAACTCGTCCTACTTTGTAGTATACCCCTCAGACATGCTACGTTACTCTTCGAGGGGACTGCTGATCTAGGATCAGTTTTGCAGTTTAGATCATAGTAAATCCAATGATATGTACTGCCCTCCTATTCTGAGACACTGTGAATATGGGCCCTGCGCTTTTTTTCTCCCTACCCCAAATGTCATTCCCCTCAGTGCACGCCAAGTTCATTTTACTGCCTATACTGCAGTAAGCTATCGTGCTGGTGACAGCCAGGCTACAATAAGGCTAATGTGGCGCCTTACGACAAATAGGCCTTGAGTGGCAGTACTGCCATGCCATTCCATAAGCAATGACTCAGCCAGATTGGGCTCTGCCTTTTGCGCAACCCACAAATCATTCCCCCTGACAACGCATATCCATTCAGGGGCTTACAATAAACAGCAGGTGGGGAATTTTGAATACGCACCGGGATGGAACCGAGAAAGCTAATATTTAACACAAGGTAGGTGTGACAGAAATGCCAAGGCTCAAAAAGGGAACAAGCTGTTCACAGTTGAAAGACATACAGGCGTGTAAACTCAGTGTAAAAAGGGTTCAACTACCTTGAAGGTAGAACATTGACTGGCATTCATGGGTGCGCAAGAAGTCAGCTTGTGTTATGGGAATGAGGTTTCTAATGTTTTGAATGGGCTTAGCAACTTGATGCTGTCCAAAGTGTTTAACAGGTCTTTAAGGTACAGTAGAGGCCTCTGGAAGCTAATAAGACGCTGTCACAAAGGCAGCATTAACTTGTTCCATTGGCACGAGAGGCGAGCGTTTTGGTCGGCAGCCGTGCCAACTGCAGGTGGAATTTCAGCACGGTGGGCAGGACCGGAAGTGGGCCGTGCCAGCGTCAACACACTCCTGCGCCACTCTCCGGGCTGACACACACGTGCACACACACACACACACACACAGCCTAACAAGTGCCATATGCTAACCAGCTGTTCGCAAACAAGCTAACTCAAAAAACACAATGTGCCTATCAACGGCTCAGTGCTGTACTGCCTTTATGCTAGGAACTTGCTAATAGCAAGCACGGCAACCTTAAAACATACTCCGATGCTACGTATGTAAACCATGCCAATGCATTTGGGTTAGCTTTTGACTTTGAAAAGAAGGGAGCACTATTCCTTCTCTCCTGCTCTGGCCAGGGACTGGATTCAGGGAACAGTAAAGCAGGTGGCTGATGGCCTAGTTTCGGCCCTGGGCTAGCTAAGCCACGCCAGTACAGGGCTGCATTTGAAATGGTACCCTATTCCCTATATAGTGCACTACTTTTGACCAGAGCCCTATGACCCCTGGCCAGAAATAGTGCGCTATATAGGGAATACGGTGCCATTTCAACACACGTGTGAAGAACCAGGACAGTGTGCTCTGTTAGAGAGAGCAACTACTCTCTGTTCTGGTGGAGACAGAGGGGACACTGTGGTCTATTTCAGAATACAGTGCTCCTTTTACATCCCACCATAGCACAACTCTGAACATGACAGGTATGGGGGAGTGTTCTGGTGTGAGTTCACTGGTCTGTGTTGAGGAAGTACAGGTTAGTTGAAGAAGTTCTGTTAGTGCTGGGATGGAACCAAAGCATAGGCGTGAGTGTGTGTGAGAGTGTGTTACATGTATATGCGTATATCTGTGTGTGTGTGTATGCGCATATGTTTGAATGCATTTGTGTGTGTGTGCGCGCGCAGGTGCATAGGTGTGTGTCTATACTCACTGCTGGCGATGTGTCGGCTGTCCCCGGCCTGTGGTAGTGTCTCGTGGGCGTCGTGGTAGACCTGTGGCAGCCCTATCGTCCTTTCCATGTCCATGGGGTCCAGCACCACCGAGCTCTCCTCCCCGTTCACCGTGATGTCACTGGCCCCTGTGATGGGGTTGGTGGGCGGGCCTCCCACTGACATCTCATAGTCTGGCGGAATGTCATCCCCACAGTCAAAGTTGGGCTGGGGGAAATCAATCAATCAAATATAAATAAAAACCTCACTTTCCAAAAATAGAATCTCTCCAGGACCAGTGTTGGGAATGAAAGAGAGACGGATAGATTTTGAAACTGGAAAGCAATAAAGACTCCTTACAGGTATCCCCAGTGCTTTGAGGATGTTCATTTTACACATGGGACAGGTCCGGTGGTCCAGAAGCCAGGGGTCCACACAGCTTTTATGGAAGACGTGCCTGAGGACAGAGTCACACACACGAATACGCACACAAAGAAACACACACACACACACATATATCAAATCAACCAGCCTTGATGATGTGATCCATAGTCACAGTCTCCTTGGTAACATAGCATCACTCATCATCTTCTACTTATCCTCTCAGTTACAGAACAGTATATTATTGTAGCATATTAAATGACTGCCAATCATTCCCAATAGACCTACTGCAACACATGATCTATAGGAGACAATGATAGTAATGTGTGTCAATGTGTCTGCTCTCTCTATAGGAGAGGCTGTCGTACCTGCATGGCAATATCCTTACAACATCATTCGCTTTATAGCCCTCGATGCACACAGCACAGTTGTCAAAGTCAGACTCCGTTTCCTAGAACACCAAACACACAGGAGACATTTGGTTGGTTGTCTAGCCTCATTTTCATTTCCTGGAAGGTGAATAAAGTGGAGCGGATCAAAAGCCATGCAGCGTGTATAATGAATTACAATTAAAACACACACACGCCAAAACACACACACACAAAATTAAAATGAGTCAGTCATTATCATTGGGCTGATGGAAGTTCATTATCAAATGCTGTGGTTAGCAGGAGCGTGGGGAAACGGTTCCCTTCGGTTTAAAACCCTACAATCAAGGTCATATCTACTTAAATAGTTTGTTTTGGTAACACTTTACATGCGTGGGGTCTAAACATAAGGTATTCACACCCCCTTTATGAAACCAGTCATGAAACTTTTAGGAGTTTGGCAGGTATCATTCATAACAACCTTCGTAACACATTTATCCAACATCATAGAAGGGGTTAGTAAAGTATGCAGCCAGGTCTACCTTGTCTCCTTTCCTGATGGTTCGTACTTGGAGCTTACTGATGGCCTTCTTGGCTGCGTCTCCGAGACGTCTCTGCTCATAGAAGATCAAAGAACAACAAAGAAGGTGGGGGAAAGATAAGCAACTGAACCTGGCAACCCAAAAGAGAGAAAAGAATGTCTGGAATTGTTGAGAGATAGAGAGCTAAAGGCATGACGGAGAGAGAGAGAGATTGAGTGGATGATAGATAGATACTAAGAGACACTGAGAGAAGGGTAGGCTGCTAACCCTCGCTATCTAGGTTTACTCTCACAGTGGAAAATAACCGCATTAGATCAGGCCACTGCCCACAGCTGCTCTCAATCAATCTTCAAGGAAAGTCGTTGTGACATCAACAGAGAACAGATTTGTGGTTTCAGGCCTGGCGAGTTCTTGGAGTGAACCACAATTCAACTCCAGCAGGTACAAAAAAGCAAAAAAATGATCACCATGGCGCCCATTCCCCTTGACAACCCATGTGGTCATCTATAACGGTTGTGTCAACATCGTCCAGGGAGACGGTGCACTATTAGAAAAAAGGGTCCCAAAAGGGTTCTTCGGCTGTCCCCAAAGGAAAACCCTTTTTGGTTCCAGGTAGAACCTTTTTGGTTCCAGGTAGGACCCTTTTTGGTTCCAGGTAGGACCCTTTTTGGTTCCAGGTAGAACCCTTTTTGGTTCCAGGTAGAACCCTTTTTGGTTCCAAGTAGGACCCTTTTTGGTTCCAAGTAGGACCCTTTTTGGTTCCAAGTAGGACCCTTTTTGGTTCCAAGTAGGACCCTTTTTGGTTCCAGGTAGAACCCTTTTGTCCTTTTTACCCCCTTTTTCTCCCCAATTTCGTAATATCCAATTGGTAGTTACAGTCTTGTCCCATCGCTGCAACTCCCGTACGGACACGGGAATGGCGAAGGTCGAGAGTCATGCATCCTCCGAAACACAACCCAACCGAGCCGCATTGCTTCTTGACACAGTGCCCGCTTAACCCGGAAGCCAGCCGCACCAATGTGCCGGAGGAAACACCGTACACCTGGCGACCGAGTTAGCGTGCACTGCGCCCGGCCCGCCACAGGAGTCGCTAGTGCGCGATGGGACAAGAACATCCCTGCCGGCCAAACCCTCCCCTACCCTGGACGCCGCTGGGCCAATTGTGCGCCACCCCATGGGTCTCCCGGTTGCATTGTGTGTGCATTGACTACACTGTCTAAGTGGCAGACCCGGCTCGGTTGACGGTCCAACAGGTTTCCGCTAGCTAACCCAGCTGTCGGGCTATTTTTAATTTTGGCCTTTGGAAGGAACAACCAGGGAAAGGTTTAGAGAAGATGAATCAGATGATTCACCTCAGGGAAAGCAGATGCTCTACATATAGACATAGAAAAAGTATGTTCATACTGTGGTCAAACTGCTAGTTTACGCTGTCATTACAGTCATATCGTAACTGGTAGCGGTCGCGAGCGTTGTGTGTGTGTGTGTGTGTGTGTGTGTGTGTGTGTGTACAAATGTGTACATTCATGCGTCTGTACAGTGAATCATACCTGGTTGCGGTCGCGAGCGTTGGCATATCTGAACCGCTGTATATAGTAGAAGATGAGCCATGCCAGGGAGATAATCATCAGGACGATGAAGGAGATGGAGACGAACACCACCGACGTTCTGCTCACGTACTTCTGAAGGTTCCTCGTTCCTATGGTGATGTGCATGGTCACCGTGACGTTGCGTTGTAGTAGAGCGGCGATCTCCCGACCTTTGGGTTCCGGAATCATGATCGCCACGATATCCCCCGTACCTGTTGGAATTTCCAGGTGAACCAAAAGGAGAGGAGTCGTTGGTAAAGTCAATCAAATATCTATCCGGTTTATTACAAGTTGCAAAAGGGCGATATCTCCAGGACAGAGCAGAGAAAATGTCTAACTGGCCTCTTGGAGACAGGCACTTATATTCTAAATCACACAGCACCAAATGTTGTGTGAACACCATGTGGGTAGAAAGTCAAGACAAACAGACTGGGACTTTGTCAGCTGCTACAGATTACACAGTGTCCACAAAATGTATACAACCAACTATTGTAAATATGTTGTAGGTCATTGGAAATAAACTTACGGTAATAAAGGATTTGTTGCAACAACCTACACTTCAATATTCATGTGCCAATTATTATTATTTTTTGGTATGGGACAGAGATCTACAACCGCATATGGCTCTTTAATTGATCCTTTGTGGCTTCATTTGATCCTATTCATTTGTATGGTATTTGAAACCCCTCTGTGGAGGTATCAGACCCCTATTGTGTATCAGGGTTGAGCTGAACTATAAATAACCTGTATTCACAGAACACTGTCTGTAGAACACAGTGAGTAATTAGCATTAGGCTAGCCTACTGGGAGTTAATTCAGGCAGAGACAGGATGCAGCGCTAACAAAACAAACCCCTGACTCTCCATGTTTGGGTCAGAGCCCTGGGGTCCTGTTCAGAAGGGAGAAACGTTACAGATCTAGAACAAATCTGTGCCTGTCACCGAGTAAGGAATTATATCAGCTCTATTCACTAGCTGACATTTCTATCAGCAACGTTTTGAACATTTCACGTCACTGGTGTCACAATACCAGACCGCACTGATAACACAGTCCAATTGACAATTAGGTCAGGCCCAGCTGCCACTAAAAAGGTTTGATCGGTAACTCAAACACCATTTAGGGTCAAGCAAAGTACACACCCCACCCCACCCCACCCCGGCACTCTACAAGGGAACATAATTTCATAGCAAAGCCATTAGTTCACACCACCAGACAGTCAACAGAGCGGAAAACCAAGGATCTTTCAACACTTTCACAACTGAGTTGAAGGTTGTTGAGTTGGATGTTATCAATGTCATGAACAACAGAGGTGTCACTTTAACACTTTGTGTCTTAACACTATGTCCCCTTCAGTTAACCCCTTTCAGAGTTGAAACCAACAAGTCCAGACAGGGCCTCCCACCAGAGATTGCCCTCATCCTCACCTCTCAGCTAGCCCCTCTCCCTCTGGCCTTTGACCAGACACCTCACACAATCACCAACCGTCAAACCAAAAGTTACTTCAGCTTCGATATACCCTTTCTCCACACATAAAATAATAATTACAGTGATAGAATATCCTTCAAGTAGGCTAAGTCCTAAGTCAACACACTAAATAACACAATCGATTCCCCTCAAGATTTCAAAATGGCCGCCATTCATGTTCATAAGAAGCAGGCCAAAAAGCTTCAGCGAGGCAAGACTCAGAGTGACATAACGTGCAGCTATGTACTGCCTGCCTGTCTATCGAACACGGACACACTTTAACCACTGCGTGAAGCATTGGGAAGTGAGGTGAGAGAGTGGTAGATAGGCTATCCTTCCTATCAGATGTGTCTGAGTGCTTTAAAAACCCTGACAAGAGATTGCACTCCATGGACACTCCATCTGCAGCCACACATTGAGGTGGGATGATGTTTGTGTGAAGGGCATTAGTGACTCAATAGCCTTTGGAACTCGGTGACATAATTTCCTCTAGGACTCTGCGGCCTTGTTACCGTGGCGTCTGTGTGGAGCCACAGGAACACAGAAGCCCCAGGGTGCTTCACTTCTTCACTCCATCTATCAGTCATTTCTAAAAGGAGAGGCTCATTCACTCTGCCACCACCGCCGCCCGGGCAGCCCGCCAGCCACAGGGCATTGTGGGATACCCTCGGCACCCGACGGAGGTCTGAGAGTGGACAAGGCCATTATATCACCATACCCTGGGGATGGATAGAGAGAGAAAGAAAGAAAAAGAGAAAAAGAGAGAGAGAGCGAAAGAAAGAGAGAGAGAGAAGGAGCGCTGGCGCCTAGCAGGTGGCGACACCATATTATCACTGCAGAATAGACAAAAACAGGTTGGAAAAAGCTGACTGAAGAAAGAAAAGTAGCTGCAAAACTTTTAACCCAAGAAAGACACAGCAAGCAGCAAGGCATCCAAAAATGGATGACTCAGTCAACCCACTCACTAATGAATCCCGGTTTAGAAAAGAACATTGGACTTTAATCCAGAGACTAAAATATATTCACTAACAAATGCGGACTTAAAACCGCCAAAAGATTGGATACGACATAGTCGGCGCATCCATAAGGCTAGGAGAAGCTAAGCTTCCTCTAAAGTAAATTGAATGAAATTGCCAAAATTATATAGCCTAATTAGCTTACTCCTGTCTATACAGAAATACATAAAATCATTCAAAATAAGCTACTATACCAGAAACTATGATTTGGCCACAGAGGATCATTAGCTTTTTAAAATATATATAAACTGTGGATTGTTTTAAACCGCATTGCCTACAGTCAGAAGGGCCCGCAATTTGGGCAGAGCGCCTGGCAAATACCACATAGATGATTGTTGAGTTGCGAATGTCAGTGAAAAGTACAAGCCCAGCCAGGCATATTGCAATATTTCAAAATACAATTGAAGGAAAACATAGTTTGGAAAGCAAATGGCTATTGCTGTAAAGAGAAGACAATGAAAATACTAATCTGTCTTTTAGTTATCAAAATACTCAATTTAATTGAGTGAACAGTATAGCCTATCTTATTGGTATCAGCGGAGAGCATCGGCCATATTCCCGGTGAGTGTGCATATTCACTCTATCGTGGTTGGGTCAGTGCCACTTGAAAGTTTGTGTTTGGACAATCATTTCCTCCTCCAGGTTAGATGGATGTCATGTATGCGTCTCTCCTTCTCATAGGCCGATTAGATGGATCAGACAACATTGTTTTTATTGATCGGTTTGTCAGTGTCAGCAGAGTAGGCAGAGTAGGCTACCCTGCTAATGTCTCCAGTCATATAAAGTGTAGTAGAATTGCATGAAATGTGTTCATAAAAGGCCAACATTTTCCCATGCAAAGAAGAAACATATCTGATATAGCCTATAGCCAAGATCTACTCTAAAGCCCACGCTATACACGCTCAACAGTGATTGAGTTATATTATTAGCCTAAATTATGACTATCCAATCTAATATAATATAATATGCCATTTAGCAGACGCTTTTATCCAAAGCGACTTACAGTCATGTGTGCATACATTTTTACGTATGGGTGGTCCCGGGGATCGAACCCACTACCCTGGCGTTACAAGCACCATGCTCTACCAATTGAGGTACAGAGGACCATCACATTAGGAATAGTAGGCTATCTTACATTAGTATGCAAATATGATGATGCACGGAATGCTTTATAAAGGTGCATTTTTATGGTGAAAATTTGCTTCCCCAAACTTGAAACTCACATGCTGCCTATGGGATACGGCATGCACGGTATGCAAATTTTCCTTGGCAGAGTTGCATGACTCACATCTGTACGGGTCTAGCTAACAGTGAAAATAGGTAAAAATAGAGCGGGTGAAAAAGGGTGGTCAGAGGAGAGAGAAGAGATGGAGAGAGAGAATAAAACTCTGTTTCTCTGTTCTCTCGGTCGGTCGCCATGGCGCCCAGGTTCATGATGCGGTCCTGAAAATGTATAAACCTAGAGGGGTGTGTGTGTGTGTGTGTGTGTGTGTGTGTGTGTGTGACGCAGGGACTGATCCCCCATGAACACCACACATTTCATATGGGAAAGGCGCAATGCATTATTATGCTCAGAAATCTCCATATGTAACGAGCTGGTCGTTTTTTGGCTTCAGATTTGCCAAATTGTTTCCCAAAAAACAAAACGACTAGACTAAATCTAATTTGGGGGGTTAAACAGCATTCTAATGAAATAAGCGCATCAGGACCGAAGAGCTCTGGAGCCAGTGTCCTGGCATAGACGGGGCCTAAATCACATTGTGATGTAACAATGAACAATGGGTAGTAGGCTGGAGGTTACTGTGTTATCCTGCATATAGGGTTTACATACAGCAAGGCACAATGCATTAGGTCCAAGGACTTGACATATAGGCCTATATGCAAGCACTCACACACACAGTTGGCTGAATTAGCAACGACCAGAGCAGCAGCACCATGGTTTGTTTATACATAACTTAACGGTAGCCACTTCAGAGTGTGTTTGTGTCAGAGCTCCTAATGCAATCACCGTCTCAATCACCGGCAGAAAAACAAGGCTGTGTGTGCACGGTAAACGGATCTCACGGCTGCTAATACTATTCCGTTAACGCTGAGCCCTACACACTGTCAAACACTACACAGCTTTAAAAAAAACATAATGGGCTTGCTAACCTAAAGACTTTTCACCCCAGATACCCTTCAACTGATATGCATGAAAAGCTGTCTGGACATGAGGGCACAATCCAACATGGATGCCGAAAGTTTAGTAGCAACACATGGCCTCAAGGAGGGGATTAACTTCTTCACCTCTATGAGCCTTGAGAACGATATGATGACCAAGGTAAGGGAACACATTGACAAAGTTCTGCGGTCTGCAAAGTTGCTTTTGCACACTGGCCATGCTTCAGCTGTTCAAAGTATGAGATCTTAAGTAGGTAGTGCAGAGTAGACTCAAGGTTTTAGCCATCTTGACCATCTGGGTGGGCTTTGGGATTACATAGACTGGTCCCTGATCTGTTTGTGCTGTCTTGCCAACTCCTATGGTCATCGTCACGTCAATAACCATAAGAGTTGGCAAGACCGTACAAACAGATCTGGGACCAGGCTAGAAATTACAACCCAGATGAAGGAGACCAGAATACAGACACAAAGATATTCCACAAGGGGCAAGATGACATACAAATTTTTTCACCACTGTCTGCAACTAGTAGGCGATTCCATTTCATTTAGAGAGCGAGAGAGAGAGAGAGAGAGAGACAGAGACAGAGCGAGACAGAGAGAAACGAAAGAACCAAAATAGCTGCTTCTAAAAATCAAAGCAGTGTGTTATATCAACCGATGGCCCGACAAGAGGCTGAACTGGACCACAATCTCTCCTCTTTGAGGACACCCTTTAGCAAGGATGGTGCATAATAAACAAGGATGGTGCATAATAAACCAGGATGGTGCATAATAAGGCAGGATGGTGCATAATAAGGCAGGATGGTGCATAATAAGGCAGGATGGTGCATAATAAGGCAGGATGGTGCATAATAAGGCAGGATGGTGCATAATAAGGCAGGATAGTGCATAATAAACCAGGATGGTGCATAATAAGGCAGGATAGTGCATAATAAGGCAAGCCAGGGGGAAGAGAGAGTGATTGAGCAGTTTATTTTTGGAGGAAGGCGCTAACCTGTTTAGTGCTGCTGAGGATTAGCTTTTGCTAGCAGCCTTGAGGGCAGCAGAACCTGCTGTGTAGTGGATAATAGTATCTGGTTAGCTGGAATTAAACAGGCAAATGCTTGTTCAATATCAACGGTGTTAGCCTATCCAGTGAACATTTGCATAAAAATATCAAATAATGAATACTTGTAGCAACCAACATTTGCATAGCCAAGATGGCCGACAAAACTGCCTAAAAAAAACAAGGCCAGGAAAGAAAAACTGAAAAGATCTGACAGAGGGAGGGAGCCACGTCATATAGTAATCTAGTGATTAATTCCAGCTCTCAGAAAATGTCCTCCACATGTTCATTGCTCTCCCTCGATATTAAAGCCAGACTGCAAATGTCAAGTCTTTCATAAAGATCAGCCCTGATAGGATTCATATGTGTTCTGTCCACACAGAGGTCTGAGTGTTCTCATACAAAAAGGCCTTGTATGCTTTCTTTGTCACAGGTGGGGCCAACCAAATTAAGATGAGAGAGAGAGAGAGAGAGAGAGAGAACGAGAGACAGATTCTTGGCTCTCGAGTACCCTGGCCGATACAGTCCACTTCTGTTGGCTCACCGAGAGGAGGACTGTTCTTTCTCTTGCTTTCTTTTTGTCCCCCTTTCCCTCATCGTTGCACTCTTTCGTCGGTGTCCATCTCAATCTCGTTTTCTCTTCTCCCTCGCAGTCTCTCTCTCTCTCTCTCGTCTCCTATCTCTCTCTCATCTCTGATCGTCTCTCTCCTCCGGATTCATCCTCTCGACCGCTCCCCCGCCTACACTCTCTCTCCTCCTCCCCCCCTCCCTCCTCTCTCTCTCTCTCCCCCCTCCCTCTCCCTCCTCCTCTCTCTCTCCTCCTCCCTCCCTCCCTCCTCCCTCCCTCCCTCCCTCTCGGTCTCTCTCTCAGTCTGTTCGTCTCAGGGCTGGGAGAATGAGTCGTAGCAGCCCCAGAAATAGCAGTCTCCTCTTTTCCGTAGGGACCGCCGGCCTGCTGTACCCTCTCAGTAGGTGTCCTCATGCTTCCCAGACTAAATAATTCGGAAGAGTTAGTGCATATATTATGACAACTTTTTGTGACGTTTTTGTTCACTTTGGACTTTGGTAAGGGTTTTCTCGGCTGTTCAGGCACACACAAAAAATTCTTGAGGCAAGCCGAAGTCAGTACGCGAAGTCTACGCCCCTTCATCGGTGATTGGTCATTAGTAGGGATTCTTCAATAAAATCTTTGTCGTCATTCAACGAGAGACGACTCATTGTCATAAAATAAAAAAAGAGACAAATACTTCACCAAACATCTTAGTTAGATGTAAAATTCAGAGACTAAGATCTCCTCAGGAAAAACTTCAAAATTAATGACATATTTCTTGAATTAGCTTAGATTAATTCTGACTATTTTGAGGAAGTGTATACTGGCTCTGGCGTCTCAAAATGGACAAGCAGTACTATTGCCGCTTTTCTCGTTTTTCAAGCGAGGGTCTTTTAAGAGAGTTTGCAAGCACACTTGTTTGGTTCGCCTAGCCAAACTGAAGAATGCTAATGCTTTAACAGACACATCTCCTGGGCCTGTGCCAGGCAAGCAGGGAGGGGCCCAATGGGGTTCTCAGCGAGCTCGCCAGAGGTGGCCACACACCCCCCTCCTCCCTCCCCGGCTGGCCCCGTGTGTCTGAGGCGTCTGGTAGGGCCTTCCGTCGTCTCTCCTCACTTCCCCATTAGCAGCCAGCATGCTGGCACTCCACTGTCTTCCCTGTGGACGCAGATAGATTCCAAGCCCTGTACTGTCAGAGACTGCCAGTGAATGTGAACAAAGGGGTTTATATGAATGTAATTACCTGTTGTGGTCCACATGGAGTAATCCTCAGTTAAAGAGGCCAAAACGTCAACAATGGTAACCATTCCATTGACGCCAACCCTCATGGCAACCCTATCACCTGCACAGCTTGGATGCCCATACAGACACACACCACTCTGTATTGGTTGGAGGAGGTGTGTCAGTGCTGTTGCAGCAGGCTAATGCAGTTTGGCAGTGTGCTAACAGGGTGATAGGTTACGCACTGCCTGTCAGCCTATTGTGAAGGAGGGTGCTACATTTTACAGCACATCGTCAAACCAGTCGCACAGTCATGTGGTGTTAAGACACAGACATGGTTAGTTTCATTTCAATCCATTAATATGATTTGTCCCAGTAAACCGAGAGCTACAGTATGGACAAAGGAGCATAGTCGAGCTCAAAACGCAGGCGGGCAACCGCGCTGACACACACACACACACAAGTCAGAGTCATATTAAGACTTGACTGCGTGTGAAAATATAAGGAATGTGGAGAGAAAGTATGGATCATGGATCATCAGGGATGGAGAGGAGAGGAGGTGGGTGTTTTGTGTAAGACTCATAAGATGGCCGAACCCTAGGTTTCTCCTAAGACCTTTTCCTTTGCAGCGATGGTGCAAGTTTAGTGGCCAGAGCCCACCACCATCACTACCACCAAACGGTCACTTGCAGAGGTAGGGGGGCCTACCCGGCCTACATATGAAAGAGAGTGGTCTACAGTGGAAACTTGGCAGCCAGTTACCACCAGTTTTGTCTATTAAAGCCTTCTCTGTTAGCTCCAGTATTGGATCCGGGCCAGACGGAAACACCTCTGACTGAGGGATAACATACCCAACTGATTAAAATGCCCATTGGATGTGCTTGGGGGAAAACGGCTGCCTCAGATATTCCCATGGACTGACTCTCCTAGCTGGCTCGTCTTAAACATGTCCACCCAACACTAAGCTGTGATAGTTAAATTAAAAGCACGCCATGAAATCAGATGTCTAAGAAAAGTTGTCATATTAACCGCCGCTTTCTGTAGATGTTCAAGCCAAGGCTAAACAGAGATTACTCAATTAGTACGTTTGAATTAGTCTGTCTGTCTGTCGACCCCATTAATACACTAAGTGTATTTACGGTATTTCAGTGTCACCATTGAATTGGATAGGTTTTATGAAAACAAACAAACACTCTTCCACATGCACACACACTAAGTTGACAGGAGCTGTACAAATATGGATTGTCATTTGGATCTCTTGCAAAGCAGGACTCAGCTTTACAACCCAAATATGGAAATCATTTTGGGAGGAAATCTCAACTGTGCTAAATCCTTCTTCCATGAATATTGATGTCCACCTAAAACTAAAATCCTCCTACTTCCTGTCCCCTCTGCTCCTCTTTGTCCTTGATTCTTTCCTGCATGGCTCAGGGGGAGAGCAGGAGATCGACAGGCTCTAAATTCCCCCCCAAAAAAATATGTCTCTTCATCTTCCTCAGTTCCCTTCATCTGCACTGATTGGAACATACTTGACAAGTGAAAACAATATGGTGGAAGCTCACCATTAGGCTGGCTTTCACCTGGTCAGTTATCAGTGCTGAAGAAGGAGATGGAGCGAGGTGAGGTCAGACTTTGAGACGGTTAAGAATGAGCCGGAGAGAGAAATTACACGAGAACTAACTTACACAACAGCCTCAGCCTGGGTCTGAGCCAGTACCATGCCAAATGGTGACTCAACCTTTGGCCCAGTTCATAATCAGCAAGAATTAGATATGGATTACAATTAGATATAGGCTAAAATGTATAGGGAATGTGTAGGACATGACAGCCTGACTGATGATCTATCCCAATGCAGTCAGGGAAACATGCATCAACAGTTTATACGAGCTGGGTGGAGTCAACTCCCAGTGTCATGGTGAGTTCATGCATGGGCTATGCATCATAGTATCACCATATATATTTTACACAAGGGGCCCATTCCATTAAAAAGTAGGCCTGCATTCCAAAATCAAGTTTTGTGGAGAAAAGTTGTTCATTGATAATTATCACACAGCTAGGAGGAATGAGGAGTGATGCAGGTTTACAACTGAAAGTTTTGAGCTTGTAGCCTACTGACATGAATGCCTGGCCAGTATCCAACAGCCTAAAACAATGTGTGCCATTGCCATAACAACATGATAAGAGAGCAGAGCACTCTTAGCACAGTGATATTGTACAGTGTATCTCATACAAGAGATACAGTGCATCACAGCTTGATGAGTATGATGCATTGCTCCCCTGAAAGTGTAGTTTACCTTGATGGGGCATTGTTATGGTATCGTTGACATTAGTGGAGCCCACGTTATAAATGATGACTGCAGAAGCGTTGAGTGCAGCGACGTTGCGAATTTTATCTCTGAATGTACAATTCCCTGCAGCTATTAACGCCACCCAAGCATTGTTTTGATAAGGCAGGGGATACTTAGCGTTTGGGTCGCAAGCTTGTCTTTCTTGCAAGAGAAAAGGCATCAACACTTGCCCTCTTGCTTCTTTCTTGGGGGAGTGCTCGCCATATCTTCCACACTCAGTCTTCTCTGTTTTGATTTCTGAAGTCACGGGATCCAGATAAGTAATGTTGACAAACGCGGTGTACCATTCTTCTTTCTCCGCCACCGTAAAGTCCAGGCACAGCAAATGCACGAAGCAAAAGGATAGCAGCCATGTTGAGAGAGCTAGACTGCGGCAGGCTTGGATTAGGGACATTGCCATGTTCAGTCCGAGGATATACCGAGTGTTCCCCTCTCCACCAAGCCTAAAAACTGCCTCTCGCTAGTAGCTTCCCCCTCTTTCCAAGCTCGACGACTACAATTTCGGACTACCCTGAAGTTGAAATACTTGAAAAGTGACTCAGCAAACCAACTGGTTAAATGTTGTTACTGGTTGTTGACAGACATCTTTTTAAACAGTTGGTTGTAACCGTGCTTCTCCACCCTACCTTCACTACTGCTACCTAAGCGACTGGCCTGCAATGTTGTTGTCCGTCAGCTGTGCGCGCTGGACAAGCTTTCTAAACATGTGACCTGGGCGGGGCTCACGAAGAGAGTCGAAGATAGTCGAACCTGTCCCCCATAATAAAGGCTAGTGTTAACCTATACAGGGATCGGCAACACGCGTCCCGCAGGCCAAAACCGGACCGTGAATTATTTTTTTTCGCCCACAAAAGTTGTTAGTAAAAAAAACACATATACATATATATATATATATATATATATATATATATATACACACTTTTTTTGTGGGAGATTTTAGCTATGGGTAAAAAAAAGACTAAAATCATCAGGAATTCAGCAAAGATTTAGTTTAATTTAGAAAATATCTTCCCAAGTATTCCAACAAATAAAAAAAGAGACATGTGATCATGTCTCAACGTAATCAAGGTATGAAATAATTGTTCTTTTCAAATACATCCTCTTCAAATACAACCGCCCCCACCACCACACAATTTACATTGGGGGTTTCAAATTACAGGTTAATATTGTCAAGACACATTGCAGAAAAATAACATGATCATAGCCGTGGGTCTGTGACCTGTAATCAAGTAAACAACATTGCCCTCTGCTGGGAAAATATTGTGATTACATATTGCAAGCATATCGTACTGAGTACTAAAAAGTTCTTCAAGTGACCTAAAGAGAGCACTGTATCCTACACCATGTCCATCATGCCAGCCTTTGGATGAGAGAATACAGGATGAAGGCATCATAGGCCCTTCGGAAAGTATTCAGACCTCTTGACCTTTTCCACATTTTGTTACCTTACAGCCTTATTCTAAAACGGATTAAAAAAATTAACAAATCTCAGCAATCTACACACAATACTCCATAATGAAGAAGCAAAAACAGGTTTTTAGAATTTCTTGCAAATGTATTAAAAATAAAAACAGAAAAACCTTATTTACATAAGTATTCCCACGGGGGGCCAGTATGAAAAATAGAAAAATGATGTATGCACTCACTAACTGTAAGTCGCTCTGGATAAGAGCGTCTGCTAAATGACTAAAATGTAAATGTATTCAGACCCTTTGCTATGAGACTCAAAATTGAGTTCAGGTACATCCTGTTTCCATTGATCATCCTTGAGATGTTTCTACAACTTCATTGAGTCCACCTGTGGTAAATTCTATTGATTGGACATGATTTGGAAAGGCACTCACCTGTCTATATAAGGTCCCACAGTTGACAGTGCATGTCAGAGCAAAAACCAAGCCATGAGGTCGAAGGAATGGTCCGTAGAGCACCGAGACAGGATTGTGTCGAGGCACAGATCTGGGGAAGGGTACCAAAACTGCAGCAATTTCTGCAGCATTGAAGGTCCCCAAGAATACAGTGGCCTCCATCATTCTTAAAATGGAAGAAGTTTGGAACCACCAAGACTCTTCCTAGAGCTTGCCGCCCGGCCAAACTGAGCAATCGTGGGAGAAGGGCCTTGGTCAAGGAGGTGACCAAGAACCCGATGGTCACTCTGATAGAGCTCTAGAGTTCCTCTGTGGAGATGGGAGAACCTTCCAGAAGGACAACAATCTCTGCAGCACTCCACCAATCAGGCCTTTATGGTAGAGTGGCCAGACGGAAGCCACTCCTCAGTAAAAGGCACATGACAGCCCGCTTGGAGTTTGCCAAAAGGCACCTAAAGACTCTCAGACCATGAGAAACAAGATTCTCTGGTCTGATGAAACCAAGATTGAACTCTTTGGCCTGAATGACTGTGATGCGTGATTTGAAGGAGTCAGGCGCAGGAGGGTAAATCACAGTATACAGAGTTTATTCCGTAATCCAGCGTAAACAGTCCAGTACGCAAAACAGGCGCACTGGAACAAACATGCACACAGGGAAAATACCCCGGCAATACAAAATACTGAGCTCAACCGAGCTACTAATCCTCACAATGAACAATCACCCACAAGGACAAGGGGGGCAGAGGGAACACTTAAACACGTACTAATGAGGGGAATATGAACCAGGTGTGTGTAATAGACAAGACAAGACAAATGGAATGATGAGATATGGAGCGGCAGTGGCTAGAAGGCCAGTGACGACGAACGCCGAAGCCTGCCCGAACAAGGAGGGGAGGCAGCTTCGGAGGAAGTCGTGACAATGACAAACGTCATGTCTGGAGGAAATCTGGCACCATCCCTTCGGTGAAGCATGGTTGTGGCAGAATCATGCTGTGGGGATGTTTTTCAGCGGCAGGGACTGGGAGACTAGTCAGGGTCGAGGCAAAGATGAACGGAGTAAAGTACAGAGAGATCATTGATGAAAACCTGCTCCAGAGCTCTCAGGACCTCAGACTGGGGCGAAGGTTCACCTTCCAACAGAACAACGCAGGAGTGGCTTCGGGACAAGTCTCTGAATGTCCTTGAGTGGCCCAGCCAGAGCCCGGACTTAAACCTGATCAAACATCTCCGGAGAGACCTTAAAATAGCTGTGCAGCAACACTCCCCATCCAACCTGACAGAGCTTGAGAGGATCTGCAGAGAAGAATGGGAGAAACTCCCCAAATACAGGTGTGCCAAGCTTCTAGCATCATACCCAAGAAGACTTGAGGCTGTAATCGCTGCCAAAGGTGCTTCAACAAAGTACTGAGTAAAGGGTCTGAATACTTATGTAAATGTTATATTTCAGTTTTTTATTTTTAATAAATTAGCAAACATTTCAAAAAAACTATTTTTGCTTTGTCATTATGGGGTATTGTGTGTAGATTGATGAGGGAAAAAAACAATTTCATCAATTTTAGAATAAGGCTGTAACCCAACAAAATGTGGGAAAAGTCAAGGGGTCTGAATACTTTCCAAAGGCACTGTACGTCCCAATTAATCACATTCTTTCCAATGAAAGGAAGTCTAGATAGAATGTCACAGAATGCACCAAATTTAAATGCAGTCTAAAAATATAGTCACAACTTCCTCCGAAGCTGCCTCCCCTCCTTGCTCGGGCAGGCTTCGGCATTCGTCGTCACCGGAGTTCTAGCTACTACCGATCCATGTGTCTATGTTCAACTTGTTTTGTCTTTATTGGTCACACCTGTTTCCCATCATGTAATTATGTCTTCCCTATTTAACCCTCTGTCTCACACTGTGTGTTGTGCGTGTTTGTTCATGTTTTGGTTGTCGTTAGTGTGCGGATTTGTTCCTCCCTGCGTGGAGGTTTTGTTCATTCATTTACTCACGAGTAAAGTATGTTTTTTCGATTAGCTCTGTGTCCTGCGCCTGACTTCGTCTACCGCATTACACCGATGCCTTGACAGAAACACACACCAAAATATGGAGTCAGCAGGTACAGCAAAGCCAGCAGGATCGATGGAGGAACGCGTCCAACAACAAGCGGCCATGATCCAGGCTCTCGGCACCGCTATGGAACGAGTGGTGAATACCATGGAGCGATGGGAGAGAGGAGGTATCCCTATACCTCCTCCATTACACCATAATCTACACCGCTGTCCACCTCTTCACCATCTGGGTCCAGTGGGATTCGGCTCTCGCTCCCGAGGGCATATGACGGTACAGCTGCCGGGTGTCAGAGTTTTCTGCTCCAGGTAGAGCTCTACCTGGCAACCATCCACCCGGTTCCCTCGGGATATGAGAGCGTGACCGCCCTCATCTCCTGTCTGTCCGGTAAAGCGCTCGAGTGGGTCAACGTCGAGTGGGGGGGAATAGACGCCAAACTGTAAGTTATGCAGAGTTTACCCGCCGCTTCAGGGCGGTATTCGATCATCCACCAGAGGGGAGAGCGGCGGGTGAGCGTCTATTACACCTCAGACAGGGGAAGAGGAGCGCGCAGGAGTTTGCACTGGACTTTCGGACTCTGGCTGCCAGTGCAGGATGGAATGAGAGGGCCCTCACCGACCACTACCATTGCAGCTTAAGGGAGGACGTTCGTTGGGAACTGGCCTGCAGGGACACCAACCTTAACCTGGACCAACTGGTGGACATGTCAATCCGACTGGATAACCTGTTGGCCACCCGCGGACGTCCGGTTCAGGGGCCGTCCATTCCATCCCCCAGCACTTCCGACCCTACCCCTATGGAGCTCGGAGGTGCTGCTCTGAGGGAGACTGGTAGAGGGGCCGTCCCCTGCACCAACTGTGGCCGCAGAGGACACACTGCTGGTCGGTGCTGGGGAGGGTCTTCAAGGAGTCGAGGCAGTAGGCAGAGCACTGGTGGACCGTTTCAGGTGAGTAGGCACCCAGAGCTCCCTATTGCGCATATATGTATAGATGTTGTATTTCCAGAGTTTTCTTCTCATTCCCAGCATAAGGCGCTAGTAGATTCAGGCGCAGCTGGGAACTTTATTGATCGTCAGTTTACCCGTAGGTTAGGGATTCCTATTGTGCCAGTTGATGTGCCCTTCCCTATACATGCCCTAGATAGTCACCCTTTAGGGTCAGGTCTGATTAGGGAGGTCACAGCTCCACTCTGGATGAAGACGCAGGAGGGGCATGAGGAAACAATTAGTCTCTATCTGATTGATTCTCCTGCGTTTCCAGTGGTGTTGGGGCTTCCCTGGTTAACCTCTCATGACCCCACTATTTCATGGCAACAGAGGGCTCTCAAGGGATGGTCAAGTCAGTGCTCGGGGAGGTGTGTAGGTGTTTCCATAGGGGCAACTACGGTGGAAAGTCCAAACCAGGTTTCCACCATGCACATTCCGCCTGAATATGCCGATTTGGCTCTCGCCTTCTGTAAAAAGAAGGCGACTCAATTACCACCCCATCAACAGGGGGATTGTGCGATAAACCTCCAGGTAGGCGCTGCGCTTCCCCGGAGTCACGTGTATCCTCTGTCACAGGAAGAGACGGCGGCTATGGAAACATATGTCACCGAATCTCTGAGGCAATGATACATTCGGCCTTCCACTTCCCCTGTGTCATCGAGTTTATTTTTTGTGAAGAAGAAGGATGGTGGTTTACGCCTGTGCATTGACTACCGTGGTCTTAATCAGATCACTGTAAAATACAGCTATCCACTACCTCTGATTGCTAGTATGACGGAGTCATTGCACGGGGCGCA